GTTGTTATTGCGGGGAGGGGGTGTGAGGGATGAGTTGCGGGAAATGCGGGAGACACGGTCGAGGGTGTTCTCGACCACTGAGGGAGGGAAGTTACGGTCCCTTGAAAAACGAGGACATCTGAGATGTACGGGAGTGGAATGCCTCATCCTGGGAGCAGATGCGGCGGAGGCGAAGGAATTGGGAATAGGGGATAGCATTTTTGCAGGAAGGTGGGTGGGAGGAGGAGTATTCTAGGTAGCTGTGGGAGTCGGTGGGCTTGAAATGAATATCGGTTTCTAGGTGGTTGCCCGAGATGGAGACAGAGAGGTCCAGGAAGGTGAGAGAGGTGTTAGAGATGGTCTAGGTGAACTTAAGGTTGGGGTGGAAGGTGTTGGTGAAGTGGATGAACTGTTCGAGCTCCTCGTGGGAGCACGAGGCGGGGCCGATACAGTCATCAATGTAATGGAGGAAGAGGTGGCATTTAGGGCCAGTGTAGGTACGGAAGAGGGATTGTTCCACGTAACCTACAAAGAGGCAGGCATAGCTTGGGCCCATGTGGGTACCCACGGCCACCCCCTTTGTCTGTAGGAAGTGGGAGGAACTGAAAGAGAAGTTGTTGAGGGTGAGGACGAGTTTGGCTAAGTGGATGAGGGTGTCAGTGGAGGGGGACTGGTCGGGCCTGCGGGACAGGAAGAAGCAGAGGGCCTTTAGGCCGTCTGTATGGGGAATGCAGGTGTATAGGGACTGGACGTCCATGGTAAAGATGAGGTGTCGGAGACCGGGGAATTGGAAGTTCTGGAGGAGGTGGAGGGCGTGGGTGGTGTCACGGACGTAGGTAGGGAGTTCCTGGACCAAGGGGGAGAAAATGGAGTCGAGATAGGTGGAGATAAGTTCGGTGATGCAGGAGCAGGCAGAGACAATGGGTCGACCAGGGCAGTCAGGTTTGTGGATTTTGGGAAGGAGATAGAAGCAGGCGGTGCGGGGTTGGGGAACGATGAGGTTGGAGGCCGTGGGTGGGAGGTCACCTGAGGTGATGAGGTTGTGAATGGTTTGGGAGATGATGGTTTGGTGCTCGGGGGTGGGGTCATGATCAAGGGAGCGGTAGGAGGAGGTGTCGGAGAGTTGGCGTCTGGCCTTGGCGATGTAGAGGTCAGTGCGCCATACTACAACTGCGCCTCCCTTGTCCGCGGGTGTTATGGTGAGGTTGGGATTGGAGCGGAGGGCTGCACGTTCTGCAGGGGAGAGGTTGGAGTGGGTGCCATCTGCAATCCGACCCTACCACCAAAGACATTTTTCCCTCCCCACCCTTATCTGCTTTCCGGAGGGACCACTCTCTCCGGGACTCCCTTGTCCGCTCTGCACTCCCCTCCAGCCCCACCACAGCCGGCACTTTTCCCTGCAACCGCAGGAAGTGCTACACCTGCCCCCACACCTCCTCCCTCATCCCCATCCCAGGCCCCAAGAAGACTTTCCACATCAAGCAGATGTTCACCTGCACATCTGCCAATGTGGTATACTGCATCCGCTGTACCCGTTGTGGCCTCCTCTACATCGGGGAAACCAAGCGGAGGCTTGGGGACCGTTTTGCAGAACACCTACGCTCGGTTCACAATTAACAACTGCACCTCCCAGTCGCAAACCATTTCAACTCCCCCTCCCATTCCTCAGACGACATGTCCATCCTGGGCCTCCTGCAGTGCCACAATGATGCCACCCGAAGTTTGCAGGAACAGCAAGTCATATTCCGCTTGGGAACCCTGCAGCCCAATGGTATCAATGTGGATTTCACAAGCTTCAAAATCTCCCCTGCCCCTACCGCATCCCAAAACCAGTCCAGCTCGTCCCCGCCTCCCCAACCTGTTCTTCCTCCCACCTATCCCCTCCTCCCACCTCAAGCCCCACCCCCATTTCCTACCTACTAACCTCATCCCGCCCACATGACCTGTCCGTCCTCCCTGGACTGACCTATCTCCTCCCTACCTCCCCACCTACACTCACCTTTACTGGCTCCATCCCTGCCTCTTTGACCTATCTGTTTCCTCTCCACGTATCTTCTCCTCTATCCATCTTCTATCCGCCTCCCCCTCTCTCTCTATTTATTTCAGAACCCCGTTCCCCTCCCCCATTTCTGATGAAGGGTCTAGGCCCGAAACGTCAGCCTTCCTGCTCCTATGATGCTGCTTGGCCTGCTGTGTTCATCCAGCTCTACACCTTGTTATCTCAGCTGTATTTCAAAATCGTGTTTTCCCTGTGGTGAGCCTGTTTCCTCGAGACCCAAAAGTATCCAACCTAGCTAGCAGGAAGGGGAAGGTGGGCTGGTGACAGTGCAGGGAACCCCGAGCTCGGGAAGTCTGATTAAAATGTCTGTGTTTTAAACTACTGTTTAGTTTCTAATAGAAATTAGCCTGTGTTAAGTTAATAACTGATAGTGTCAGTTTCACTGCTTTGAATTTGCCTTTTTAACCCTTGTATTTTTATTCACTTTTGTTTTATTTCCCTATATATTACTTTTGCCTTTATTAAATGCAAAAGTGAGTATATCACAAGAAATTAAACAAACACTGAGATTCTTTGCCCTGAAACACCTGCCTACAGCCTTCCTCATTTCACATTCCTAAATTAAGTCCAAGGATCTAGGGGTGATTCGAACCACCTAAAAATCAGCAGATTACTGATTGCAGACCAGAATCCCTACAAGACCTGGTTTAACCTTACTAAGCTTGGGAGAAACTTACTTCATTTCCTTACCTTAATTAAATTCTTAGCCAAGTAAAAAAAGTTAAATGCTCACTGCAGACGCTTTAGAAAAGTATCGACATACAATCACTCACCACTCACTAAACTTGCACATGCACACAGATGAGAACACCATGTACCCAGGAAAGTCCTGCAATGCCCCATAATCCTACAGTTCTCTCAATCTGATTATCTTCAATGAAATAGGCTGATCCTATTATAAATTGCAAATTCAAGTCTCCTACAAACCCATTCTTCCAACAATATAAACGCAAATGTCGATATACCACTCTGGTTGTATGCTCCGACAGTTCTTTCATCTTTTCACCTTCTCCCCACTTTCTACGCCAATGCCATCCTGTGGCACCATCGTTGCCAAGGCTTGCCCCCTGTGAAGTTCTGCCCATGTGTTTACGTCAAACACAAGATCTTTATCATCTATTTCATGTGTGACACATTAGTTGTAGGGGCCAGCTAACATATTTGGCTGAGCAACTGTGATTTGGGATGTACAGTAATGCCAACAGCATGAGTTCAATTCCTAAATTGGCTGAGGTCACCATGAAAGTCCCATCTTCTTAATCTCACCCCTCAGCTGAGGTATTGTGACCCTCAGATTAAATCACCATCAGTCCTCTATTTCCAATGAAGAAACAGTCCTATGGTTTTCTGGGGCAGTGCAACTTTACCTATATTTGTGGCAGATTCTGTACAGTTAAAAACCATCAATTTCTTTGGTTTGCTCTCATGTCTCATTCCCTTTAGTCTTATCTTCAGGCAAGGTTCACTTTAGAATCATAGAATTCCGAGTAAAGAGACAGGCTATTCAGCCCACTGAGCCTGCAGTGACCCTTCAAAGAGCATCCCACCCAGATAAACTCATACCCATAACCCAGCATTTACTCTCATCTCCCGGCCTGCACATGCCTAGACACTATGGGACAATTTAGCATGGCCAATCCACCTAACCTGCACATCTTGGACTGCAGGAGCAAACTGGAGCACCCATGGGAAGAACTCTACAGGCAGTTGCCCAAGGTTAGAATCAAACCCAGATCCCTGGCACTGTGAGACAGCAGTGCCAATCACTGTGCTGCTGTGCCATCCCAGATCAGAATTCAGATCAGAAACTTATTTGAAAACACATTTCAATGTATTTCCCACTTTATGCATGAGCTTTGAGAGAGAAATACTGTAATGCAAAATGATGTAACAAATGTTTAGCTATAATAATCTTGCATTTCAACAAGAATCAAATAGACAAAAATATAAAATCTACATTTATGTAGCTTTTTTAATGACCACGAGACCGCCCAAAGCACTTTGCACCCAATGAAATACATCCTGAACTGTGGTCACTGTTGTTTGTAGGAAACTTAACAAAAACAAAAATCATGGTATAATAATAACTGATCACATACCATGGACCGTAAGCATGGCTGTTGACTTGCAATCCACTGCATCACATGTGTATTGCGCTTGGTGTTCATTTCCACAATGGTGAATGATAAGGCTCCTTTGCCGTCCTTTTGATATAATGCTATATCCTTTCCCTGGCTTAATCTCTACATCATCCTGTAGAACATAGCATAATGATGAGGTATGAATGACACAGATATACAGCTATAATATATGGAAACTATTTAAAATTCCTAGTGGGATAAGGAAAAAAATCAAGAACTTAATTCTCAATGACAAAATAAATTCAAAGATATTTTGACTGTCAGATTTAATTTCTTTAGGGAAGAAAATATAGAAGGAAAATGTGGAAATACCAGAAATCACAAATAAAACAAAAAATGATTGATAAATATAAAAAATATTGGTACATGTGAAGAATAAAATTTAAGGCCTCTGCAGAGTAGAAATGAAGCAATAATGCCAGAAATTATGGAGTACAGAATGTGAAAACACTATTGGCTAATGCCAACAAGTCTAATTTCGGTAGAAAGTGTCACCTTCAGCCAAATTGATTTACTCAGTGCAATATCTAGAAAACAGCTGAAAGCACTTAATACTGTCAAGGCAATACATGTTGGCAATGTAACGGCAATAACACCAGAGATCTGTGCTTAAAAGTTAGTTGCACTCCTAAATAAGAAGTTCTAGTACAGCTACAAGACTGCTATCTACTCGGAAAATGAGTTGCCACATGGAAGATATGCTCTGTCCAAGAAAAAAAAGCAGGACAAATCCAATTTAGCTATTTCCACCATTTTCAGTCTATTCTCAATCATCAGCAAATGGAAGGAGCCATCGACACGGCCATCAAGTGGCACTTTGTCAACAATAGCTGGCTCATTGCCACTCATTTTGGATTCTAACAGAGAACCTTAGCTCCTGATCTCATTAGTGTTTTCATACAAACATGGGCAAAAGAACTAAACTCCGGAAGTGAAGTGACAATAACTGCATCTGATATTAAGGCCCTCTTTGACTGATTGGAACATCAAGCAACCCTAGCAAAACTGCAGTCAATGGTAATCAAAGCTACATCAAGCTACTCTCCTGCTCCTGGATCCTGGCAGACTTACCTATCCAAGAGTTCCAGGGAAACCTACTGGAAAGTTTGGAAGCCAATCCTACAAATGGCTTTTTATGGACCCTTTTCATCTCGAAGCTAATGATTATGACAATATGACTAGTCATATAAATACTACTCTTGCGGCTACAAGAGCAGATCAGAGGTTAGGAATCCTGCTACGAGTAACTCGCTCTCCTGAATGCCTGCGCACCATCTACAAGGCATAACACAGGAGTGTGATGGAATACTCCCCACTTGGATGAATGAGTGCAGGTCCAACAACACTCAAGAAACTTGACACACTCCAAAGCAAAGCAGCCCACTTGATTGGTACCACATCAACACAGAGTAGTAGTAATATGTATCATTGACAAGATACATTGTAGAAATTCACAAAGACCTCTTGGACAGCACCTTCTGAACCCACAACTACTACTGTCTAGAAGAACAAGGGCAACAGATACAAGGGAATATCACAACTGGCAAATTCCCTTCCAAGCCACTGAGTATCCTGACTTGGAAATATATCGCCATTTCTTCTGAGTCAAAATCATGGAGCTCCCTCCTTAACAGCTCTCTGAGTGCACTCACACTAAATGGACTGCACTCTATTTTTACTGGTATGTCATTAACTAAGGGTCATAATTTCAAGACTGTCAGCAAGGGATGAGACGAGGAGAAACTCCATTACTCAGAGAGTCGTTAGGATCTACACCACATTGCCTGGGGGATTGTGGAGGCAAATTCCATACAAGATTTCAAAAGAGAGCTGTACATATTTTTGGAAAACATTAAGTTTAGAAGACTACAGAGATAGAGCCGGAGAAGGGGACTAGCTGGGTAGCTCATTCGGAAGCCAGTACAGGCACAATGGGTTAAGCAGCTCCTTCCATACTCCAAAATTTAATGATTCTACGATTTTAAAACACAATGGAGGATATCCTCAATGGGAAGAAAGGATTTCATCTCCACAGGAACCAAGGTACCCTCCAGTTAACTGATTGCTCCAGTTAGGTTTTAGTTTAATGGTGACCCCAACATGTTGAAAGTTTGGATTCAGCAAAACGAATGCTGTTGAAAATGTCTAAACACCTCCTGTTGATATTAATTTGTTAGGTGTCGTCACTAGGTGGCACATGCTTGGCACGGATGCTGCATACTATCTATTAACCAAAGACTTAAAGTAGTCCAGTTCTTGCTGTGCAGGGACAGTGGTTGCTTGATTATTTGAGGAGTTTGGAATAGAGCTGAAAACAATAATTCAGTAATTAGCAATAATTCCCATTTCTGATTTCAGACAGAGGGAAGAAATTCAACAATGAAGCAGCTAAAGATGACTGTGCTTAGGGAAAATGCCCCAAATAAATACTGCTGAAATATCCTGGATTGAGAACTACTGTCAATTGTCATAAAAACCATCTGGTTCACTACTATCCTTTGTGGAAGGCAATCTGCCATCCTTACCTGATCTACCTGATCTAGACTGACATCAATGTGGTTGATTCTTAACTACCATCTGTGTTATTAGGGATGGTCAATAAAAGCTTCTCTAGTGAGTGATGCCCAAATTCCATGAGTGATTAAAAAAAACACTACTTGCCTCAAAGTTTTTGTGTCTTCAGAACATAAAAACATAAGAACTAGGAGCAATTCAGCCCCTCCACCATTCATAACATCATGGCTGATCTCATCTCAGCTTCAACTCCACTTTCCTGCCTACTCTCCATAATCCTTCAACCTGTTACTAATTACAAATTCTGGAGCAGTGAATGCCACACATTCACAACCCTTTGAGAGAAGTAATTTCTCTTCATTTGATTTAAATCTGCTACACTTCATCCTAAAACTATGATGGTCCCACACAAAGAAACGTTCTCTCTACATCTAGTTTGTCAAGACCCTTTAACATTGCATATACCTCAATTAGATCTCCTCGCATTCTTCTAAATTCCAGCCAGTATAAAACTGCTAAAGTGTTCAATCTCACATTTCTGGAACAATTCATTAAACCTCCTCTGAACTGTCTCCAATGCAATTACATCCCTCCTCAAGTAAGGGGACCAAAATTGTGAGTAATACCTCAGGTGCAGACTGACTAATACCTTGTACAATTGCAGCAACACTTCCCAACTTTTATACTCTATCCCTATAGTAATAAATATCAACATTCCATTAGCTTTCCTTATTATCTACTGTACTTGCATACTGGTTTTCTGTGATTCATGCACAAGGACACCCAGATCCTCTGCACTGAAGCACTCTGAAGTTTCTTTCCATTTAAATAATTAAGTTGCCTTTGTATTCCTCCAACTAAAACAGAAAGCCTCAAACTTATCCACATTAAACTTTATCTGCCAAATTTTGGCTCATTTACCTAACCTATCCATACCCATTTCCAAATTTCTTATTTCTTCAATGCAACTTACTTTCCCATCTATTTTACTGACATTTACAAATTTGGCTACAGTACTTTCTATGTATCTATATTATTATAGATTGTAACTAGTTAGAGACTGAGGGCTGAATTCTATGGCACCCCACTGGTTACATCTTACGATACATTTATCCTGACTTTCTGTTGGTTAGCCAATCCTCTATCCAAATTAATAAATTACTCCTAAACTCATGTGATCTTACCTTGCGTATTTGCTTTTTTTTTTAACAGCACCTCATCAAATGCCTTCAGGAAGTCCAGATATACTACAGCTATAGAATCCCCATTATCCATCTTCCTTGCTTGTTACATCTTTAAAGAACTCTAGCAAATTATTCAAACAGGATTTACTCTTCATAAAATTGTGCTTACTCTGATGGACTGCATTTTGACTTTCCAAATGACCTGTTATTACTTCCTTACTAATGGATTCTAACAATTTCTCAATGCCATATTAGACTATCTGATTGATAGTTTCCTTCTTTCTACCTCTCTCCCTTTTTGAATAAGGACATTATATTAGCATTTTTCTAATCCAATAAAACCTTTCTCACATCCACAGAGTTTTAGAATATTATAACCAATCGATCCATTAGCTCTGCTTCCATTTCCTTTAAGACCCTAGGACATAGGCCATCCGGCCCTGGGGTCTTGTCTGCCTTCAAACCCAATAGTTTGCTCAGTTATTTTTTACCTAGTGATAATGATTTCTCTAAGTTGCTCCTTTTATGTAACCTCTATATTACCGGTCACTATTAAGATGGTACTAGTGATAACAGAATCAAAATATTGATTTAGTGACTCTGCCATTTCTTGTTCCTCACTATCAACTCCCCAGTCTCACTATCCAAGAGACTAACATTCCCTCTAGCTCCTCTCTTCTCTTTTACATAGTTACTGTATAGAAGCTTTTGCTATCCATTTTTATAGTTTGCACTAGTTTTCTTTCTGGAATAACAACTCGGAGGCTGGGTATCCTGTCGCCAAGTCACCATTTATTTACTTGTGCGCAGTACACTCGCTGTGGCTAGCCAGCTTGGAGTCAGTAGCTTGAACCAAGAAGACTCAAATCCCCCGGTCACGCTGGTCAGCCAGGGCCCTCCCAACCGGGGTTGCCAATTTGGGCCAATCAACAACCTCGTAGTCAACAAGGTCAACCTGGCTCCAATTTCAGAATTTATCTTTGATCTTGTTAATATTTTTTCAGTAACTCTTTGTCGACTTTTAAAAGTTTCCTGATCTTCCAGCCTGCCACTTATCTTTGTAATGTGGTATGTCTTAGTTTTTATCTACATAATATCTTTGACTTCCTTTAAGCTAATAACTTCATCATCTTCTTTGTTACCTCCAGATTAGAATAATCCAACGATTCCTTATCAGCCTTCTATTTTCTCCTCTCAGTTCTCCTTTAATGCCATCCTGTAAATTCCATAAGTTAAATTAAAACCTGAGCTGATTTGACAAATCAGATTTCCTCCACGTTAGAATGTATCTTACCTCCAAACTGAATGTCTATAACAGAACTCAGCAGCGGTCAGAAATCAGTTAAAGTCTTGAAATTGTGACAAAAAGGCATTTTTTACATTTAATCAGTAGAAAGAAGTTGTCAAAATGACAATAAAATAATTCCAAACTATTTACACAAAATCATTGCAGTAGGATAATGTCCTAAAACTTGTTTGTTTCCTACAGAATTCATAGATTTTAGCTAACACACTTCTTTTTGTTTCCCAACTTGCTCTGATAGTAGAATAAATTTTCCAGATATTCATACCTTAAACCATTTAACTTCTGCATTGGCTCTTGAGAGTTCACATTCAAAAACAACTTTATCTTTCTCCGGCACTTTAATATCTTCTAAAGATTTGACAAAGGTCACTGGTGGCTCTATTCAAAAAAGAATGAAAAATAACAGCAACTGGTGCAATGTAAAGGTTAACATTCTGAACCTCTGAGTAATTGTAAAATTTCTCAATAATTTTAATCTTAGTGAAGAGACAATTGCTCTACTGGGTAAATTTTAAACGAGCATTATGATAGTTTCTAGCCACTATGTCTTTAGATTCTAAAGCTGTTATTGCAGGGTCATCACAGAACTCTACCCAGGGTTTTAAGGTCATGTCATTCCAAGATGATCAGGCAATGGCCTAATGGTATTATCACTGGACTGTTAATTCAGAGAGCCAGATAATGTTCTGGGGATCTGGGTTCAAATCCTGCCACAACAGATGGTGGAATTTAATTTCAATAAAATATCCGGAATTAAGAATCTAATGATGGCCTTGAATTCATTGTCGATTATCGGGAAAAATCCACCTGGTTCACTAATGTCCTTTAGGGAAGGAAACTGCCATCCTTACCTGGTCTGGCCTACATGTGACTCGAGACCCACAGCAATGTCGTTAACTCTTAACTGTCCTCTGGGCATTTGGGGATGGACAATAAATGCTATCTAGCCAGCGATGCCCTCATCCCGTCAATGAATAAAAACAAAACCTCAATCTGCCACTAGAGTTGTTCTTCCTTCACAAGGAATTCTTAGACATAGCACTCAGTGAAGCATTCTGTCATGCACTCATTGTAACAGATTCAAGAGAAAGCATATAGCAGTTTACATCACTTAATCACTGTTAATAACACTAATATTCTTCTGGAGCTGAGAAACAACCATTCTCCATGAGTAGAGTCAGCGTATTGTTCTTGGTGGTCACAATCAGCGGGACTGAATAAAACATGTCTAACAGTGTGAGAAGACTTTTCTTGAAGTGATTAAAGAGTTCACCACAAGTCCTCCGTGCCTGAACATTGTTTCTCTATGTCATCTCTGCTTCCCTTTATTGCACTGTTGCGTGCTCAGAGTTCATTCATTGATTTTAGATTTAAAATTATTAAGAATGCAGCACAGAATGATTACCTTCGAGAAGCTATATGCTAGACTGATGTGTTGACAAAAATACCATGAGAGCAGGCAAATCCACCCACCACTCAATGGTAGGATAGGTTTGTATGTCAGATGATTTGTATGAGTGGGGCAAACGTCTAAGGGAGTTAAAGTAGTGGTTGAACACAGATAATATAGAGAAAGCTAAAATCAGCAGAGTAGAACAGGATTTAGAGTAAATTTTTTGTCATTGTGATCTAGCTGGCTTCTTGAAAGGGGACCGGTTAGCTCAGTTGACTGGATGGTGGTTTATATTGCAGTGTAATGCCAACTGTGTGGGCTCTCCTTCTCAAGAGGGATTCTACTTTTCAAACACTTATCTTGCTCAAGGTTTGTGGTGACTGTCAGGTTAAATCACCACCAATGAAAGTCATAAAGATCTACTGCATAGAAGAAAATTCTTTGGCCCATCATAGCCATGCTAGTCAAAAACAACCACCTAACTATTCTAATCTCAGTTCCTAGCACTTGGCCTATAGGCTGGTATGCCTTGGCATCACAAATGCATATCTAAATACTTTTTAAATGTTACTAGGGTTTCTGCCTCTACAATTTTACAGGCAAAAAGTTCCAGATTCCAACCACCCTCTACGTGAAAATGTTTTTCCATGCATCTCTTCTAAACCTTCTGCCCCTTACCTTAAACCTATGCCTCTGGTCATTGATCCCTCCATCAAAAGGAAAAGCTTCTTTCTCTCTACTACGTATGCCCCTCATACTTTTATACACCTCAGTTTTGTATTGGTCAATCTCCTCTGCTGAAACGAAAGCAACACCAGTCTGTCCAACAGTACTGAGGAAGCATCACCAGACCCAAAACGTTAACTCTGATTTTTTCTTCACAGAACCTGACAGACCTACTGAGTTTTTCCAGCAACTTCTGTTTTTGTTCCTGATTTACAGTATCCACCGTTCTTTCAGTTTTTACCAGTTTGTCCAACCTCTTTTCATAACTGAAACTGTCCAGGGCAGGCAACATTCTGGGAAATGTCCTGTATACCCTTTCCTGTGCTATCACATCATTCCTCTAAAGAGGATTCCAGAACTACACACAATACTCTCGCTGTAGCCTAACCAGTTTTATACAGATCCAGCATAACCTCCCTGCTCTTAAACTCTATGCCTCGACTGATAAAGGCAAGTAAACTACATACCTTCTTAACTTAACGACCTGTCCTGATACCTTAAGGGATAGGTGTACGTGCACACCAAGATCCACCTGAACCCCAGTGCTTCCCAGAGTCCTACCATTCATCATGTATCTTGCCAAAGTACATGACCTCATATTTAAGCTGACCGAATTCCAGTTGTCTCTTTCCAATAAGAAAGCAGCTCTCTGGACCACTACGACTACGATCATTTGACACTTTCTCAAAAGTTTACAATTGCAGAAAGAGGAACAAAAACAAGCAATATTGAATATTGAGCTGTATGAGCTCAAACAGTAATTTGGAGAAAAGAATTGTGAAATATTTAAGGAAATGCTTTAAATACACTTGTTGAATAGAAGTTTATATCTATAGATACTCCTTCGGGGAATCAAAGGACACGGTAAAAGGCTCTTTGTGTTTGAGGAAGGCAAAACAGTGGACAGGTGGATTAGACTTCACAACTTCTAATCAGCTGGTTTGTGCTGTAGATAATTCATTAACCCTATGAGGATGGGGAAAACAAGATAGATATTTGAAATTTGATACATATCTATCCTGTTATGTGTGTTAACTTTCAACTAATCACTGGATACTTGTAAAGGGAAACATCTTTGCTCTGTGCTTTAAACCAACATCATATCAATTGTCTCAAGTCTGTCTAAATGCTTCAGAATAAAAGTATCTGGTCAGTTTACTGATTCATGTGAATGATCAGCATGTGGCACTACAACAATCGGGGAGATCAGGTAACTGGACCCGAAACGATGACCCTGTTTTCTCTCCGCAGATGCTGCTGAACCTGATGAGGTTCTCCAGGAATTTCTGTTTTTGTTCCAGGTAAAACACCATTATGTTTTTTACATTTCAAACATTCCACTTCAGAAAAAAATATGAATCACAATCTGAGAAAAAGAAGCCTACAGACTCTCCTTTCAGCAAGGTGATAGTGATTCTTACGTCCATGACAAAGATGAGTTGGTCTTGTGGGTCAGCAGATAAAATCCCTCTACATCATGCTGACTGAACAAAATACTAAAACAAATCACAACAGAATCAGGCCAGCTATTCTATCAGCAAATCATTAGATTGCCTCTGTCACACTGATATTTTTATTTCCATTTTCTTCCTATGTCACATGGAATTACAACAATAATTGGGAACTTGGAAACTGTGTCTCCACAAACTCAAGACCTCTACAGAAAGGTAGAAGGAAACAAAATAATGCAAGAGGTTCAGTATAAAAAGTGAACAGTTCCAGTGAAAACAGATTCAACAGGGGGCAAAGTCTGTCAACATCAGTTTTAAAGCATTGAAAGGTGCACTAATATATTCCAAAAGAGAAGAACAGGCACTTCAGCTTCTTGAGTGCAACAGCCTAATAACAACAACTGCTAAAACATTAATCTAATTAAGCTAGATAGCAAAATTAAATCAAATGTGAAGGAAGACCTTTTTACTCAAACTGCTGAAACAAAATTAAAAAGTTATTCTAAATTTATTTGTTTCAAAAACATCACTTTTATAATTAGAATAGATAGCCCCTGAAGATTGTCTTTCTCCTGCAAGGATACTCCAGTGATATGAATAATGAGTAATGATGAATATCCTATGTACACTGTCATAGTTCCACTATGGGCAGTTACCTGTTACAATGAGTCTTCCAGATGTACGAATGTCTTCAGCTTTGAAACTAATCAGCCCTGAATCCTCAATCTTCAAATTGGATAAAGTTAATGCATGCTTCTTGCCCAGTGTGGTAATTCTACAGTTCGCTCCAGGTTTCATTCTGATACTATCCTTCAGCCAGGTCGTTTCCACATCTTCATGAGACAACTCAACTTCAAAAGTGCAAGTCTCTTTCTCGTGCACCTTGACTTCCTCCAATCCTTTGATCAGTTTAACTTTCCTCACTATTTCAAATAAGAATTATTATTAATATTCTAAGTATTAAATTGGTGATCTACAAAATATTATAAACAAAACATGACAGTAGTAGTAAAAATTAAGTAGTCACAACAGAAGAAAACTGAATTGATATAAGTTGAAATTAGGTATTTTAGACCCCACATATGATGATCTTTAGTTTAATACTTTGGACTGTGTATCTTGGATCATTGAAAGCTAAAACAGGATGGAATTTATGTGACCAGTGTTGAAGGAAATGCTAATTTTATTTTTATTCGCGTACTTTTAATTCCCTCCATCTATCAAGTAGTTTGGCAAGTTCAGCCTAATTGCAGTCTACATGAAGACTGCAATCATTGATATATTTGCCTTTGCAGTTCCATTTTGAAAACCTCAACTAATTCTTCCTCAACTACATTCACAGGCAGTGCATTCTAAAACCTAATCAATCTCTTCATGGAAAAAAGACAGAAGTGCTGGAAAAGCTCAGTAGGTCTGGCAGCGTCTGTGTAGAAAAAAATCAAAGTTAACTCAGGTTCTAAGGAAGGGTCACCAGACCCGAAATGTTAACTTTGATTTTTTGTTCACAGGTGTTGCCAGACATGTTGAGTCTTTCCAGCAACTTCTGTTTTTGTTCCTGATTTACAGCATCCGCAGTTCTTTCGGTTCTTCATGAAAAATGCTTCCTCATGTTGGCATTGCTTTCTGTACCAATTATCTTAAACTTGTGCCCTTTGGTTCTGGACCCTTCCATTATGGCAACAGTTCTCCCTAGCTACTGTGACCAAACTCATGATTTTGAATAACTTCATCAAACTCCCTTCTCAAAGTCCTTCTTTCAAGAGATAGTTTTAACTTCTTCAATCTTTGTAGATGATTGAATTTGTTCATCTTTCCTGCACCTTCCCTAATGCCTTCACTTTCTTCTTCAAGAAGTGCCCAGAATTGAACACAGTACCTCAGTGATATTTAACTAGTGTTTTTTTTAACAAAAGCAAGTGTGTTTTACATGATAGAAGAGGTCAGAACTTGTTGTACCTGATAAGGCAACTGGAATGGACATTCAGTATGTGGAAGGGCACGCATGGGAACAGAACAGTTACGGTTTTTTTTACTTTTACTTTTTATTTATTCATTTGTGGGATGTGGGAATCACTGGGTGGCCAGCATTTATTGCCCATCCCTAGTGGCTCTTGACAAGGTGGTGGTGAGCTGCCTCCTTGAATCCCTGCAGTCCACCTGCCATGGGTTGACACATAATGCCATTAGGGAGAGAATTCCAGAAGTTTGACCCAGCGACAGTGAAGGAACGGTAACATATTTCCAAGTCAGGATGGTGAGTGGCTTGGAGGGGAACTTGAAGGTGGTGGTGTTCCCACATATCTGCTGCCCTTGTCCTTCTGGATGAAAGTCGTCGTGGGTTTGGAAGGTGCTGTCTGAGGTTCGTTGGTGAACTTCTGCAGTGCATATTGTAGATAGTACACACTACTGCTGCTGAACGTTGGTGGAGGAAATGGATGCTTGTGGAAGTCATGTCAATCAATCGGACTGCTTTGTCCTGGATGGTATCAAGCTTCTGAGTGTTGTTGGGGCTGCACTCAACCAGGCAAGTGGACAGGATTCCATCACATTCCTGACTTGTGCCTTGTAGATGGTGGACAGGTTTGGGGAGACAGGAGGTGAGTTACTCACCACAGTATTCCTAGCTTCTGACCTGCTCTTGTAGCCACAGTGTTTACGCGGTGAGTCCAGTTGAGTTTCTGTTCAATGATAACCCCCAGGATGTCGATATTGGAGGATTCAGTGATGGTAACACCACTGAATGTCAAGGGGTGGTGGTTAGATTCTCTCTTATTAGTGATGGTCATAGCCTGGCATTTGTGTGCTGCAAATGTTATTTGCCACTTGTCAGCTCAAGCCTGGATATTGTCCAGATCTTGTTGTATTTGAATATGGACTATCTGAGGAGTATCTGAGGAGTCGCGAATAGTGCTGAACATTGTGCTATCATTGGCGAACATCGTCACTTCTGACCTTATGGATGGAGGGAAGGTCACTAAGGAAGAAGCTAAAGATGGTTGGGCTTAGGACACTACCCTGAAGAATTCCTGCAAAGGTGTCCTGGAGTTGAGATGACTGACCTCCAACAACCAAAACCATCTCAGGAGTCCACCCAACGAAAGAGCAATGCTCAAAAAGCTTGTGATTTTAAATAATACTGTTGGGCTATAACCTGGTATTATGTGACTTCTGACCTTGTGCACCCCAGTCCAACAGTGGCACCTCCACATGACATCTTCCTATCTGTCAGGTATGACTCCAACCACCGGAGAGTTTGCCCCCAATACCCATTGATTCCAGTTTTGACAGGACTCCTCGATGCCACACTTGGTCAAATGTAGCCTTGATGTTAAGGGCTGGTACTCTCACCTCATCTCTGGAATTCAGCTCTTTTGTCCATGTTTGAACCCAGGCTGTAATGAAGGAAGAAGCTGAGTGAACCTGGCAGAACTCATACTGGGCATCACTGATGTGTTGCTTGTTTCTCAACTTGTCAGTAATTCTCTACTTTGTACTACAGGTTAAGGAGGTCATCAATGCTAGGGAGAGGGCCAAGACTAGAGAGGAGGTTGATGACATCAAAGTTCAATGCCTTCTTAAGAGGACGTTTTCAAAATTGTAGACATACAGGATAGCTGCTCCAGTATAGATGGCAAGGGCATTGAATAGCTGCAAAAGGAGTTCTGTAAAATGTATGAGTCATGATAGTTCTATCAGAAATGACTACAATTATTTTCCAGTCATCACAACCTGAATGTAAAATGCCCTCCAATTCACAAATGCAGCAGCTTGTTCCCAGTGAGTTCTAATGGTCATGTAAGTGAAATAGTTGGGAAACACACAGTGATCCTGAAGATAACTCCCACCTCCCACCAAGGCTTATACTCTGTTAGTCTCACAATTGCATGTAACATCTTTGCTCTCAATGGCCCCAATCCTGACAGCACTAACTCTTCATGCCCTGCATGCTGCCTCACACATTTGGAACAGTGCTCCACCTTTACCAAAAGTAACAGCTGTGCCACCAATTTTTATTTTCTTTAATACCTCTCTCTCTTTCTTTCTCTCTCTCTCTCTCTATTCTTGGAGAACTGCCTACAATAGCGCACTATACTCCAGGTATGCTCTCACCAAGTCGCTGTACAATCACAGCAAGACATCTCTGTTCCTGTACTCAGATTCTCAGATACCAGCAATTCTGGACCGCCAGTATTTCCAGCACCCCTCTCTTGTCCCGCAGAGATAGAGAAAGACAAAACCTCACTTCATACCCAAAGATTGAACAACCTCACCTAGTGCATACCATCTTTGTCAAGAAAGTTTCCTGACAGCTGCAGACTTAATCTGAAGAGACTAATTAATTTCAATAAATTCTTGTTTAATGAGTATTCATGATATGCAAATACATGGTAAACAGGTTCCTGTCACTTTACAATACACTGTCCACTCCACCATTGACACATTGGCATTTGAATTTCTAATATTGAACCTGACACCAGAGAACCAAGATTTTGGCTCCTACTTAACTAAATTAACCAATCTTCCACATTTCTTTCCATTACATGCCCCATTAAATACCTACCATACTTTTAAATTATCGCTTTTCTGTAAAAAAAAAACTACAATTTAGGTTGCAAACAGACTTCTGAGTTACTCCATTCAACTCAATGTATTCTACGCTCAAAACAGTGGTACTTGAAACTTTGTTTCATTAGTGACAACTGATGCTAGATGAATTGTTGAATTTAAAATCAGAGATTGGCAGATTGTAGTTTATAAAAGGTATTAAGGGATATCAGGCAAAGGCAGGTTAATTGAATTAGATCACAGATCAACCACAAAGGTTTGTTAAATAACATCCCTTCGAGATACTGGACAGGATTTTTAATTTTTGTTAGAGACCGCATGATTAGGGTCAAATGCAATCTGTGCAGAGAGAAATCACCCAATGTGGCTTCTTCTTGATTGCTCAATTAGCAGGCAGACAGCACACTCATTGACTTTCTCAGCAACTTTAAAAAAGTTAAAATAAAAACATCAACATGTGGATGGGAAGCCCCTTCATAAGGCATCTTGTGATCAGAAATGTAGCCAATAAGAATTTGCAAAGTCTTCCTGGACCGCTGACTCTGTTAGAATTACCGCTTCTGGGCAGCTGCCAATGTTATGGGGGCCTGTGAGCTTGCTGAAAATCTCTAGTTGGCCTCCAGTCTCTGGTCATAACCACCCTTTCAATTAGCTAACAAAACTTCTTCCATTTGCGCGCAAAAAGTCATTCCATCTGAGGTGTCCACGAGGAAAATGGCTCAGGAGCAGAAGGATGCTTGAAAACCAACAAGTCAAATGACAGGTCAAAATTACACATCTTTCTGCCTCCAATCCTGACCCGATATCAGGGTTTTACAGTCTCCCACCAGCAACCATTGGGTAGGAGAAAGTGGAAATGGTGTTCTGCAACCAATCACAGTCCCTCTCATTGCAGAGAATACAAACATAGCACTTGATGTCCAGCAGAGTAGTACTGCGACCTCTAATTTTTGAACGAGGATTTAACGGTAGGCATTTCTGAAATTTTCCTCTTTAAAGAAGAAAATCCTGAAGAAAGGCAAACTATACTTCCTCTTATTATGGAATATTTGAAGTCCAAAGTTTGTGCAAAGGAATTAAAGCTCAGCTGGCCAAGTAAAGGACCCAAAGACAATGCTGCAAGCAAATGGTGCACATCAGCCCACAGTCCTCCTATGCAGCAAGTGTGGTAAAAGCTGGCATGCCAGAATGGGGCTTCTGAACCACACCAGGCAATGCTTAACACAGAGTGTTAACCACATCATAGTGTAAATTATGACTTGGAAGGCTGCAACTTCGGTAAAAAGTTTCATACTTACTTTCAACATTTAATTTTGCTTTCGTCTTTTCATGAAGTGTTTCACATGAGTAATTCCCACGGTCCGCAAAGCTCACGTTTTTAATGGTAAGAGTCTGCTTGTTTCCAGCCACCTTAATATCTATTTTTCCATCACTCTGAATGATGATGTTATTTTTCATCCATTTAACTTCACCACAAGGTTTTGAGAGTTCAATTTCAAAAATGGCTGTATCTTTTTCTTGGACAGTCATGTTCTCCAATTTCTTTTTAAATAATGCTGGAGCTTCTGTTAACAAAATTTCAATAGAAGTAGTACTATTGTAATTTTTGAAAACATGCAATTAATTTAAAATCAGTCAGCTTTTGCGCAAGCTATGCCAGCCCAGGAATAAATCACAGGGTTCATTCTATGTGGCTAAACAGCAAGTCCATGGGCTCCATAGATATTGGCCTTGAAGGGGAGTCAGAGCAATATCAGAGCCTGCTGCCGAAGAAAGGTGGAAAATCTGGTCACTGACAAGTGCAAGATGGAGTATCAAGGCATAGTGTGGAATAACGGATAGCAGTATGGAACGGTAGGTACAGTGTGTAGTAGCTGTAGTATTTTTAATGTGGTGTCAAGAAGAATAGACCAGATTCACATTGAGATACCTTACTTTCTTTGTGGGCAGGTTAATCTTCTCTGAACGTAGCCAGCAATGTCAATGGTTGCTTTGCAGCAAACAGGTCTTGGATAGGTAAGTACAAATGGGCAATAAGCCTTTTATCTGCATATACATATTTCAACGGCCTCTTGGGACATTTCGAATTTATCCTCATCATAGAATCATAAAATCCCTACATTGTGGAAAAAGGCCATTTGGCCTTTCATGTTTGCACTGATCCTGTGAAAAGCATCACATTTAGACCCAGCCTCCACCTTATCCCCATACCTCCACATTTAACATAGCCAATCCACCTAACCTGCACATCTTTGGTCTGTGGGTGGAAACCCAGAGCACCTGGCGGAAACCCACGCAGGCACAGGGAGAATGTGCAAACTCCACACTTTACCCAAGGCGTCAGTCAAACCCAGGTCCTTGTACTATGAGGTAGCAATGCTAACCACTTGAGCCACCATGCCACCCAAATGTGGAAGGTGGTGCACTTTCAGCAAAAAAAAAATCACACTGCTCCAAACTGGAGCCTTAATTGTCACAGTTACATATGTAAAACAACTCCATTGCTTTTAACTTAACCATTTCCTTTAGTCTACATCCTCTTCTACCCTTGATAACTAGTTTAAAGTTCACCCTGTCTTCACTGTTGAAGAAAATGTGCTGATTTTCACCCAGTACTGTGAAAAAACATTTTTGGAAACACATTGACTAAACAATGAAGTGAAGAATTAAGACTCCTGCTGCAAGGCTGAAGAAACAAATAAGGAAAGGAAGCAAGATTAGTCAGTGCATTGAGTATAGGAGTTGGGAATTTATGTTGTGGGTATACAGGACATTGGTGAAGCCACTTTTGGAATACTGTATTCAATTCTGGTCTTCCAGTTATAGGAAAGATATCGTGAAACTTGAAAGGGTTCAGTAAAGAATCACGAGGATGTTGCCAGGTTGGAGGGTTTGAGCTCTAGGGAGAGGCTGAATAGGCTGGGGCTATTTTCCCTGGAGCATCAGAGGCTGAGGGGTGACCTTACAGAGGTTTATAAAATCATGAGGGGCATGGATAGGGTGAGTAGTCAAGGTCTATTCCCCAGAATAGGGGAGTCCAAAACTAGACGGCATAAGTTTAAAGTGAGAGGGGAAAGATTTGAAAGGGACCTAAGGGAAACTTTTTCACACAGAGGGTGGTGTGGGTATAGAATGATTTGCCAGAGGAGGTGGTGGAGGCTGGTACAATTACAACATTTAAAAGACATCTGGATGGGTATATGAATGGTAAGGATTATCTGGTCAGCATGGACGAATTGGAGCAAATGGTCTGTTTCCGTGCTAACATCTCTGTGACTCTATGTCTAAGAAGAATTTGCATTTTGAACTGCAGTCACTGCTTTTACACAGGCAATGACTGGGATTTTTCAGGCCTTTGAGGATTTTGTCTGTATAGTAGCCATCATTATCTTTTCTCTAAAATACAAGTTAAAACTGAAAGGAGTTAGCCAACAATGTAAGTATGCTTTCAAGAGGTTTTAATCCAAATTTTTTGGGGATCCTTTCAGAATAAATTAGTGTGTATCTATTCTGAGCTACTTGCTAACAAGGTAATTTTGATTCCTCACCTTGAACTTGAAGGTTTGCAGTTATTTTCATATCTTCAACTTGTGCAGAAACTTCACATGCATCCATTAGTTTCAGGTCTCTAATGGTCAAACTATGATTGGTTCTTTCACAGGATACGACATATTTCTCGTTTGGTTCAATTTTGACTCCATTCTTATACCAAGTGACTGCAGCATCTTCATGAGAGACACTGCATTTAAAGGTGGCATCCTCTCCTTCCACAGCCACTACACTGTGAAGTTCACTTTCAAACTTAATAATCTTTGGAACTGCTCAGAATAAAACAAAAGTTTTAAAGTTAAAAACTATTAAATCTTGCTCTTTCAGCTACTATAAATGTATGAACATACAAATTAGGAGCAACAGACCATTCGGCCCCTCAAGTCTGTACTGCATTTGATAAGATCATGGCTGATCTAATTGTGGCCTCAACATTCCTGTCTAACCTTTTTGTCCATGGTCAGTCAAGTATTAACATCAGTAAAACAAAATCCACTACTAGATGGGCACATCTTGTTGTTCAATGTAGCTGATTTATCAGCATCACCAAGTTATCAGTGAGGTTGTTATAAAAGAAGAAAAAGACAAGATATAGAAATACACACAAACTAGCCATGAGTTCTGACCTTTTTTTTATTCTTTCATGAAATGTAAATGAGAATTTGTCACTAATTCTTAATTAACCTTAACTGGTGCCTTTTCAGAGAGCAGTTAAGAATCAATATATTGTTGTGGATCTGGAGTCACATGTAGTACAACCCTGCTTAGGACAGCACATTCCCTTCCCCAAATGGCATTAGTGAACTGGATGGATTGTTAGAACAATCATTACATGGTTGTCATGAGAAGAACTTTCCCTTTATTCCAGATTTTTAATTAATTCAAACCTCATCAATTGCCATGGTAGAATTCAAACCAATGTGCCCAGAACAATAGCCTGAGCCTCTGGATTACCAGTCCAGTGACACTGCCAATACACCCCTCCAAGTCATTCAACATCCTGACATGGAAATATATCACTGGTCCTTCACTGTCACTGGATCAAAATCCTAGAATTCCATCCCTCACAGCTTTGTGGGTCTACCTACACCACATGAATGCAGAGGACGAAGAAGACAGTTCACCAACACCTTCTCAGGGGAAGTAGGGATGGCAACAAATGCTAGTACAGCAAGCACCATCCACGCCCACGAGTGAATAAAAAGAACTTCCTCTATTACTTAGAGTAACAGTTTTTTTTATGGCAAAATAGAGGAAACGGAAACAAACGGAAAGCAATCAATTTGCCGATTGATTGATGGTATTAAAAAAATCATAGCTTCGATTGGTACATGATTGATTAACTCTGTACTACCCTTCGAAACTTTTGGAGGATAATATATTTAGTAAGCCTCTTAGCTGATAATAATAATCGTAATTTAATTAGTAAAGATTTATTCATTTATTTACTTTTTCTTAATCCAATAGTCACTGTAAGGTCAGAAATAGCATCTCATGGCATGGTACGCTTCACCTGTGAGATGAGGGAAAATAGGGACAAAATAAATGTCCCTGACAACTATATCTGCAGGTAGTGTTTCCACCTGCAGTTCCTCTCAAACCGCATGGATCAGCTGGAGCGGTAGTTGAACACACTTAGGAGCATGTAGGTGGCGGAAAGTATCATAGAATTTCAGGGATGTGACTGCACAAAGTTGAGGCAGATGGATGGGTGACTGCTAGCATGGGAAGACAGTCTATGCAGGAGGCCTCTGTGGCACTTTTCCTCTCAAACATGTATACGGTTTTAGATCCCGTTCAGAAGGATGGCCAGTAAAGGGATGGTGATAGCCAGTAGCAGTAACCTGAATGGTGGCACCGCAGTTGGATTTATTGTACAGCAAGGAGGGCCAAAGTGCAGGTGAGCAATGTCTTTTTTAAATCTCTCCTCTCATCTTAAAAACATGCGTCCTAGTCTTGAAATTTCCCATCTTAGGGAAAAGATAACTACCATCAACTCTATCGATATCTTTCATTATTTTATAAACATCTATCAGGTCACCTCTCAACCTCCTATGCTGCAGTGAAAAAAGTCCCAGCCTATCCAGCCTTTCCTTATAGCTCAAACTTTCCATACCAGGCAACATCCTGGTAAACCTCTTCTGAACCCTCTCCTGCTTGATAGTATCCTTCCTATGACTGGGCAACCAGAACTGGACACAGTATTCCAGAAGAGGCCTCACCAATGTCCTGTACAACCTCAACATAATGTCCCAATTCCTATACTCAAAGGACTGAGCAATGAAGGCAAGTGTTCCAAACGTCTTTTTAACTATCCTATCTATATGTGATACAAACTTTAAAGAATTATGTACCTGCACCCCTAGGTACCGCTGTTCTACAACATGACCTAAGGCCCACCATTAATTGTATAAGCCCTACCCTCGGTTGTTGTACCAAAACGCAATACGTCACATTTATCCAGATTGAACTCCATTTGCCATTTTTCAGCAAATTGACCCATTTGATCAACTTTAATAACGTTAGCTTGCTCTCTATGTACGGATGCTGCCTGACCCACTGTGATTTCCAGCATTTTTTGTTTTCAGTACAGATTCCAGCATCTGCAGTAATTTGCTTCTATATTGTGATTAAAAGTACAACTGGCCCACTGAAGGCTGAGAGTGGAGATACAATCAATGACCATGGGGAAATGGCAGACATGCTGAACGATTATTTTGTTTCGATATTCACAGTGGGAAAGGAGGATAGCTTGTCAGAAATCCCTTTGGGAAATTTTTGGAGTCTATAATCAAAGATAGGGTAACTGATCAGGATAGGGTAACTGATCACGTCAAAAACTCCAGTTAATCAGGGAGAGTCAGCAGGGTTTCATGAAGGTTAGGTTATGCCTGAAAAACCTCAGAGTTTTCTGAAGAGGTAACAAAAGTGGTGAACAGAGATGAGTCAATAGATGTTGTTTATATGGGCTTCCAGAAGGCTTTTGATAAAAGTCTCACATAACTGACTGTTAGCGAAGGTGGAAGCCCATGAAACTGAAGGCAAATTACTGACATGGATGGGAAATTGGTTGAATGGCAGGAAACAGAGAGTTGGAATAATGGTTAAGTACTCAAAATTAGTAGGACGTGAGTTGTGGTGTCCCACAGGAATCTGTGTTGGGGCCTCAATTATTCACAATATTCATTAATGAATTGAGTAAAGGCATAAAATATCATTTAAATACTTATAACTTCTTATCAATATCAATATTACCCAGTGATATCAAAAACCACAGCTCAATGCAAAAATTGAAACACACTTCATAGAATGCAGCTGATTTAAGTTTGTGTACATTCCAACTTATGTGTAGGGAGTTTTTAAAGAATCTTATATTTTTCAGGTAAAAACAAAATATTGGAAATGCTCAATAGAGATTTTATGACACACCTTGATTAATGCCAGATTTATAATATTTAGCTTTTATATATACTTGGGCTATGCGTTTGGTTTTACCAGTTAAAAATGCATCTGCTTTCTCTTTTTTGATAGAAAACTATTTTCTAAAGAGAACAATAAGTTAATACACTTTTTTTTATATAAAATGCACATTTCAGTAAAATGTAACTGTGATTATTGCAAGATTAATAAGAACATTAATACCAAATAATTTACAGTATGTTGCGAAATTGGGTAGAGAATTGTGGATTAGAAGGCAGGATGGTAGAATTTGATATTTGTAAAATGATGTGGGGAAGAGTATGTAGTCCCTTTTGAATGATTATGTGATTTTTCTAGGCTTGGAGTTTTAAAAAAATGTCTGCAGGCAGCAGCAGATGCAAAGACAATTCTTAAAATTGAAACATTGTATCAAAATGCTATACTGTTAGCAGGTAAAGCAACATTTTTGCCAAGACAACAGGGTTGTGAATTTAGCAAATTAACTTAAACCAAGCCTTAGATGCCAAAACCCAATTAAATTTAAATCTGATGGTTTTGACAACCTAGGACCAAGCTTATTGTAAGGAATTAATAGGTCATCAAAGGTATAAAAGAAGAGGCCATTTGAAAATCAGTGTGAGAGCAATTGCCATCTGTTAAGAGAGCAGCTCTCAATAGCCATCAGCTATGAAGAAAGAGAAAGTCACTGTCTGTCACAGAAATCTCTAAACTCTCAGAGTAAGCATCATCTAAATAAAGGTACCACAGCACCCTTAGCTAATATTCCTAACACAAGAATTCGACGGAGAAAGGCATTCCTGACAGAAGAATTCGACGGATAAAGGCGTTCCTGACTGGAGAACAGTGGAGAAGGCAAAGAACATTTTGGAAGACTTATCCTGGCTGTAATTTTGAGAGACTAAGTTGTAATTTAGTTTTCTTATAGTTTGGTTTATATAAATGGGACTTGTATTTATTGGACCAGCATAGCATTAGAATTTTGTTTTATTCAGGAATAGTCAGTAGTTAAGGGGGAATTGTTTGGTTTGTTAGTAGTTCTGTTAATTTGTTTACTGTTAGAGTTAGATAAATAAATTGTTACTTGTTGATTTTAAAGTGAGTATCAGGGATTTCTTTCATTTAACCAATCCTTTATAACAGATTGGGGGGAGTTAGAGGCAGGTTATACCACTTTTCACACTTCTTTTAACAGATTACGAAGTGAGGTGAGCTTTTCTGGGTGTTTTGGTTTTAATTATCTGAGAGGTGGCGACCTCATCTCTGCTTCGTAACAAAATCAGAATCTTCGGCATGGTTGGGAGGGGAGATGTGTAATTTCTTCTATCAGTAAAACGTTAACAGTGAAAAAGTTTAGTTAATAAAGCAGATCAAAAGCTGAACAAAGTATTTACCCATAGTAGTCAATTTAGCAGTTGTAACATCGTCCTTTGATTCACATTGATATTCTCCCTCATCCTCAGCAGTTACTTCAGAGATGGTCAGGCTTCGTTTCTGTCCATCCGCTCGTATTTTTAGCCTACGGCTTGGTTTGATTTCTGTTCCATTTCGCCGCCATAAGACGTCACCCTTTGCTTGATTTAATTCACATGTAAGCTCAACTGTGTTACTGCACAGAGCATTTACATTTTCAAGCTTCTTTGTAAACAAGATGGGTAATTCTATGAGGAAGACATAAATCCAGTGAGCACCAATTTATGCTTTTTCAAAATAATGTTATGTCAATCCAAAGTTCCATAAACCAGCTTTACAAAGGATATTTATTCATATAAGCACCAAGGTTAGTACCCTACAACTTACAATATTACAATGAAAAGCCCAAAGTAGGGAGAAAACACCAGGGTTGAATTTTTGTGCAGTAATGGTTAAAATGTTGGGTGGCACAGCGGCATAGTGGTTTGCACTGGTGCCTCTCAGTGCCAGGGATCTGGATTCGATTCTAACCTCGAGCAACTGTCTGTGTAGAGTTTGCACATTCTCCCATGTTCGCATATATTTCCACCAGGTACTCCAGTTTCTTCCCACAGTACGGAATGTGCAGGTTAGGTGGATTGGCCATCCTGAATTGCCCTGTAGTAGCTAGGGATGTGCAAGCTAGGTAGATTTAGCTATGGGGTTTCGGGGATGGGGGAAACAGGGTCCAGATGGGACGTTCTTTGGAGGGTCAGTGCAGACTTGATGAGCTGAATGGCCTCTATCTGCACTGTAGGAATTCTATGATACTATGATATGAAATTAGTAAAGGGATGACAAATGCTGAGATCTTCTTAGATTGTTACTAACCTGTAACTTGAATGGTGAAGGTCAATTTTTCTTTGGCTGCTTCACATACATATTCACCTCCATCTTTTGGCTCCACATTCTGAATGATAAGCTTTCGGATTTTGCCGTGGGATTCAAGTTTCCACTTTTTACTCCAATTGAGCAGTTTTCCATCACTGAACCATCTGACTTCAGTTTTGGAATGTGACACTTCACAGCTGAGACTTGCATTCTCTGATTGTTGAACTTTCACAACCTTTTGAACTGCATCTTTATTAGCAAATCCTGATTCCAATTCTTCAATGAAAGAGAGTCCAGTTAGTACACAGGATAGACAAGTGCAAAAATACCACTAACTAGTGAGATCTTACAGTCGTATCTCTAACTTTGAGCCAGAAGGCTTAGGATCAAGTCCCACCTGATCTCGAAGTGTATCATAAACTATTCAACCATATGGATTAAAAATATGAAATCTAACCATGGCTTTCAACTCAAAGTTATCAAAGGTTTATCGAGGGACACAAATGAATTCATAATTATTTAATTCAGAATTTAATTTACTTTAACTGACTTATCATAGAATTAGGTTTACGTCAGTCGGCATTGGACCAATTGAAAATTAATACAGAAAGCGAACAGGGAAACAGACAAAATTCCAAAAGGTCATCAAGTTCCTCCATGGGCTGACTGTCCACCATGTAACAATTTTTAAATTGTTACCTTTGCTGCAACATTAATAGAATGTCTAGCTATTATAATCATTCAGTATAATCTGAGAAGGTGTTTCCTTTTTTAAAGGATTTTAGATTTAGGGGGCACAGATTAAAATAAGGCGTCTCACACTTAAGACGAGATGTTGTGACATAGGGTGTGTGATTTATGTATATTTTAATATCATTTAGTTTTAAGCTTGGGTTTTTGAAATTTGAATTAGTGACATATGGGCTTTTCAGTGCATCTGAAGTGCTTAATAATTAACTTCTCAGTATTCCTGTAGCTATGATGATTTAGTTAAAAAAAAAAGTTTGATATACAAGTACCCTTCAAGGTGAATTGATTTTTATATACAGTAGGAGAACTTATGACCAAACAAAGTAAACAATTGTGCCTCAAGGTTTCAGTTAGAAATTTCTGGACATTTCTTTTAAAGCTTAGGAAAAACACCTGTCGCTAGAATTTTTGTTTAGTTTGGGGCAGTTCTGCATAAGTTTTAGGTGAAGATGAACATATAAAGCAGTGCTCCTGAGAAAGGAAGAAGATACTTAAAAAATACATTACCGTAGTCAAAGGACTTCGGGTAGAGTTTCAGACTAAGAGTGTTTGGGTGAAACCCTGAAGAGATTATTTGAAAGAGATAGCAGGAACTGCAGATGCTGGAGAATATGAGATACCAAGGTGTAGAGCTGAAGAAGGGTCTAGGCCCGAAACGTCAGCCTTCCTGCTCCTCTGATGCTGCTTGGCCTGCTGTGTTCATCCAGCTCTACACCTTGGTATATCTTATATCAGAGATTATTTGAAGCTGGGTTAAACTCAGGTGTATGTAAGCTCCTGAAAGAGGCTGTTACTTAAGCTGGGAGTTGAAGTCACAGTTAAATTAATCAAGATGGTAAAGAAAGCTATTTTTCTCTGGTATTAGTACTTAAAAAAGGGTGCAATTGGGTATAGTACCGAGGTGTTCCTGAGATGTGAGGGAATGTTTTGGGAATAATTGGATGATACATTACTATATGCTTCAAAATCTTCAAATTTGTGTTTTATGTAACTAGATTGGTCTATTCTACTTTCATGAGTCAAAAGATCTAATTCTATTCTACTCTGAGGATCCCACATTTAATTGTTTTATTTTAGCAATTATTTATAGAGAGATGTACAGCATAGAAACAGACCCTTCGGTCCAACTTATCCATGCAAACCAGCAATTCTAAATTAATCCAATCCCATTTGCCAGCATTTGGCCCATATCCCTCTAAACCCTTCCTATTCATATACCCATCCAGATACCTTTTAAATGTTGTAATTTTATCTTCAGTTGTTTTGTTCAATAAACTTCTATTTTATTGTTAAATCCGAACGTTAATTGCATGCTAATGTTTCATTAAGAGACCACACTGTCAAAACCAAACCAAAACAAAATCTGATCTATCAATCAGCCAGATTTCACTCTGGGATCTGACCTATCTCGTAATAAAATCAAGTGGGATTATAACAATGTCAAGAAATGTCTTCTACGACAAGGCCACTGAGTCTTTGGAATTCTCTTTCCCAGACAGCAGTGGTGGCTACGGAATAGAACAGTTTCAAAACCAAACAGATTTTTGATTGACAAGTAATGGTACTAGGGTCAGGGAAAAAAAAAGCAAAGTACAGTTACGGCCAGATCAAATTGGTCGTGATCTTACTGAATAGTGCAACAGATTCAGTGAGTCAAAAGATCTAATTCTGACCTACTCTTCCGATCTCTTTTTTTTAATTTCTAGCAATTATTTATAGAGAGTTGTACAGCACAGAAACAGATCCTTCGGTTCTACTCGTCCATGCCGGCAAGATATCCTAAATTAATTAGTCACATTTGCCAGCATTTGGCCCATATCCCTCTAAACCACTCCTATTCATATACCCATCCAGATGCCTTTTAAATGTTGTAATTGTACCAGCCTCCACCACTTCTCCTGGCAATTCATTCAATGCACACACCACCCTCTTGTGTGAAAAAAATTGCCCCTTAGTTCCCTTTTAAATCTTTCCCTTTCAACTTAAATCTATGCCCTTCAGTTTTGTTCTCTCATACCCTGGGAAAAAGACTTTGACTATTCACCCTATCCATGTCCCTACTGATTTTATAAACCTCTATAAGGTCAACCACAGCCTCTGATGCTCTAGGGAAAATAGCCCCAGCCTATTCAGCCTCTCCCTATAGCTCAAACCCTCCAACCCTAGCAATATCCTTATAAATCTTTTCTGAACCGTTTCAAGCTTAACAACGGGGTAGGCGATGGCCTAGTGGTATTATCGCTAGACTATTAATCCAGAGATCCAGGTAATGTTCTAGGAACCTGGGTTCAAATCCCACCATAGCAGATAGCAGAATTTGAATTCAATAATAAGAGACTAATAATGACCATGAAAGCATTGCCAATTGTCAATGACCTGATTCTCAGGAAAACCCATCTGGTTCACTAATGTCCTCTTGGGAAGGAAATCTACCATCCTTACCTGGTCTGGTCTACATATGACTCCAGACCCATAGCAATGTGGTTGCCTCTTAACTGCCCTTTGGGCAACTAGAGATGGGCAATAAATGCTGGTCCAGCCAGCAATGCCCACTTCCAATGAATGAATTTTTTAAAAATCATTCCTATAACGGGGAGACCAGAAATGAACACAGTATTCCAAAAGTGGCCTAACCAATGTCCTCTACAGCTGCAATGTGACCTCCCAACTCCTATATTCAATGCACTGACCGATAAAGACAAGCATACCAAGTGGCTTCTTCACTATCCTGTCTACGTGCGACTCCACTTTCCAGGAACTCTGAACCTGCACCCAAGGTCTCTTTGTTCAGCAACACTCCCCAGTACCTTACCATTAAATGTATAAATCCTACACTGATTTGCCCTAACAAAATGTAGCACCTCACATTTGCCAAAATTAAACTCCACCTACCACTCCTTGGCCCTTTTGCCCAACTGATCAAGGTCCCACTGTACTCCGAGGTAACCTTCTTTGCTGTCCATCACACCTCCAATTTTGGAGTCATCTGCAAACTTACTAACCAAACTTCCCATATTCACATTCAAATCATTAACATAAATGACAAAAAGCAGTGGACCCAGCACTCATCCTTGCTGCACACCACCGCTCATGGATCTCTAGTCTGAAAAGCTACCCTCCACTATCACCCTCTGTCTTCTACCTTTGAGCCAATTTTTTATCCAAATAGCTAGCTCTCCCTTTATTCCATGTGATCTAACCTTGCTAACCAGTCTACTACGTGGAACCTAGTGAAAGGCCTTACTGAAGTCCATACGGACAACGTCCACCGCTCTGCCTTCATCAACCCTCTTGGTCACTTTTTCAAAAAACTCAATCAAGTTAGTGAGACACAATTTCCCATGCAGAAAACCATATTGACTGTCACTAATTAGTCCTCCTTTCCAAATACATTAAATCCCGTCCCTCAGAATCCCTTCCAGCAATTTACCCACCGCTGACTTCAGGTTCACCGATCTCCGGCTTTGGCTTTTAATAATGGCACCATGTTAGCCAAACTCCAGTCTTCTGGCACCTCAGCTGTCACTATCGATGATGCAAATATCTCAGCAAAGGGCCCAGCAATCACTTCCCTAGCTTTGCACAAAGTCCTAGAGTACACCTGATCAAGTCCTGGGGATTTATCCATCTTGTACGAGCTGAGTTACTTTATATCTTTTGGAGGAAAGTAAAGATAGGGGACAGAATTTCTTCACAAACGACTCAACCACCATCAAAGGAAACGGCAGGACATAGATCAATTGGAAAGTTGGGTGGAGAAATGGCAGATGGAATTTATTCCGGACAAGTGTAAGCCAAATGCAAGAAGGGAGTATACAGTAAATGGCAGAAACCTTAGGTGCAGTGATATACAGAGGGAACTTGGAGTATAAGTCTATAGCTGTCTGAAAGTGGCAACAGAAATGGATAAGGTGGTAAAGAAGACGTACAGCATGCTTGCCTTCATCAGTCAGTGCACTGGGTATAAAAGTTGGCAAGTCATGTTGCAGCTGTAAATAACTTTAGTTCTGCCGTAATAGAAATATTATGTGCAGTTCTGGTTGCCACGCTAAAGGAAGGATGTGGAGACTTTGGAGAGGGTGCAAAAGAGATTTACCAGAATGTTGCCTGAAGTGGAGTGTATTAGAGAGTGTATTAGGAGAGGTTAGACAAACATGGATTGCTTGCGCTAAAACATTGGATGCTGAGGAGTGACGTGACACAACTGCATAAAATTATGAGACGCTTAGATGGGGTGGACAGTCACAGTCTTTTTTCCAAATGGAAATGTTAAATACTAGTGGCCATTGCTTTAAGGTAAGAGGGAGAAAGTTTAAAGGAGATGTTCAAAGTATTTTTAACACAGTGAGTGGCAGGTAACTGGAACACACTGCCACGGGAGGTGGTAGAAGCAGATACAAGAGCAATGTTTAAGAAGCATTTAAACAGATACATGAACAAGCAGGGAATACAGGTATATGGGCCATGTGCAGGTGGACAGAATTAGTTTAGAATGGTACCGCTGTTCGGCACAGACAGGAAGGACCAAAAGACCTGTTCCTATATTGCAGTCCTATGTTCTATGTATGTTTGTAGGTTTGCAGCAAGTGCAAATTACGACCTTAAATAAGTTTTCCATAAATTCTCTAAGTTACAACCTTATAACAGATGAAACTCCAAAAACGATCACTTTTTACAAAAATGCTGTGACAAGTGATAATCTTGTAAACATCATCAGCAAACAAAGAAATTAAAATTAAACGGGAGACCATCAACAATCATTACTGACCTGTAACCTCAACATCAAAAGTCAATTTCTCTCCAGCTGCTTCACATACATAACTGCCTCTATCCTTTAACTCTGCATTCCGAATGATGAGTCTTCGTATTCTACCATCAGATTCAAGTTTAAGCTTCTGACTGGAACTGAGAGATTTTCCGCTTTTGGACCATTTGACTTCAGTTTTGAGCTGCGATACTTCACAGCTGAGAACAGCATTGTCCAATGCTCGAACATTTACCTCCTTCTGAACAGCTTCTTTATTGGCAAATACTGGTTCTGGTTCTGGTTCTGCAAAAGAGTTTCCACTGGCAAGTAAGATCAAGAAATTTTAGGCCCAATGATACCACCTCTTTTGGCGTTGTTAATCCAAAATGGATTCTTTATTGATAAATAATGGCCCTCGTTCTGCAAAAGAGTTTGTAGCGTAACTAAGTTTCTCACTTTCTGATGCTCATTAAAGTTGACCTCTATACCAAGCTTTTGACCAAATTTGTCCTTAATTGCCTCAATGTTGAAAACAGATTTCTAAAGGGAAACCATGTATAACTAAATTGCTTGAGTTTTTTGAAGAGGTAACAGAAAGGCACCATGAGGCACCAGGGAAGGTGAATGCCTAGTGGTATTGTCGCTGGGTCGTTAATCCAGAGACCCAGATAACGTTCTGGAGGCCCATTCTGGGTTCCAATCCTGCCATGGCAAATGGTGGAATTTGAATTCAATAAAATATCTGGAATCTAAAATATCTCGGGTGGCACGATGACATAGTGGTTAGCACTGCTGCCTCACAGCGCCAGGGACCCTGGTTCAATTCCACACTTGGGCGACTGTCTGTGTGGAGTTTGCACAGTCTCCTCGTGTCTACGTGGGTTTCGTCCGGGTGCTCCGGTTTCCTCCCACAGTCCAAAGATGTGCAGGCTAGGTCATGCTAAATTGTCCACAGTGTTAAGGGATTTGTAGATTAGGTGGGTTATAGGGGGATGGGTTTGGGTGGGTGCTCTGAGGGTCGGTGTGACTTGTTGGGCTGAAGGGCCTGTTTCCACACTGTAGGGATTCTATGATCTATGATCTATGAATTAAGAATCTAATGATGGCCACGAATCCATTGTCAATTGTTGGAAAAATCCATCTGGTTCACTCATGTCCTCTAGGGAAGGAAACTGCCATCCTTACCTGGTCTGGTTTACATGGGATTCCAGACCCACAGCAATGTAGTTGACTCTGGTCAGCCCTTTGGGCAATTAGATATGGGCAATAAATGCTGCCTAGCCAGCAACACCCTCATTCCATTAACGAATAAAGAAATAAAATGCTGTTCATGTGGGTCTACATGGACTTCTACAAGATGTTTACTGAGTGCCACATAACAGGCCTGTGACCAAAGTTATAGCTCATGGAATAAAAGTGACAGTAGCAAAATGGCTGCAAAATTGGCTGAGAAATAGGAAACAAGAGCAGTGATCAAGGATGTTTTTCAGCTGGAGGAATGCTTGTAGGGGAGTTCCTTAGGGTCATCAGTAATGGGACTCTTTCTTTTCCTGATACCTATTAACGATATTGATCTTTGCGTGCAGGGGACAATTTCAAACTTTGCAAATGACACAAAACTTGGAAGAATTGTAAACTGTGAAGAGGGCAGTATAAAGCTCCAAAATGAAATAGACAAGTTAGTGGAGTCAGCAGATTGGTGGTGGATGAGACTCAATGCAGAGAAGCATTAGTTGATGCATTTTGATAGGAAGAACAATTAAAGTCAATATAAAATAAGGGTAGCATTCTAAAGGGGTACAGGAGCAGACGGAACTCAGTGCATACATGAGGAGGTAGGACAGGTGAATGTCGCTGCAGCAATGGCAGCAGCTGGAGGCTTTGGCGGTCAGCCACGAGGCAGCTAGTGTGCCCAGGTAGAAGTCTGGCAGTTGGTAGCATTGCGGCTTCTTCAAGGTCCAGAGTGTGGAAGCAGCTGGGGGCTCAGACAGGTAACAGAACAGAACATCAGCAGGAGTGCAACAGCAGGCAGCCTGGGGCAGCCAACAGTGAGAGCAGAAGCAGGCAGGCTGAGGCAGCCAGAAGTGAGAGCAGGAGCACAGGCAGCCCAGGTGGCCAGAGGCAACTGCGGGAGTAGGCAGCCCAGGGTGGCTGGCGGTGATAGTGGGAGCAGGCAGCCTGTGACAATGGCAGGAGCAGCAACAGGCTTCCCATGGCAATGGCTGTATCAGGGACAGGCTGCAACGTGACAAGAGCAGGCAACGTGAGGCAGTGGCGGGGGAAGGTCAAGCCTTGTGAGGAATGCGAGCCCCGCATGGCCAGGCACTTAAGGACTCTGGTGTTGAGCTGTTAGCTGTGTTTCTTTGTTTTTCCACTTTTGGTAAGAAGGACTGTAATGTTTAACATTATAACTCTGTTTCACTTGTTCTTCTGCTTTGTGCTACAATTCAGTGCCTAGGTCCCTTTTTACCTAAGGTGGTGCCATAAGTGGCGACTTGTAAACTTTTCACTGTTATTAATGTGAGTATTTGTGACAATGAACCTAATTCAAATTCAGGTGGTTAGAGAAATTAATAAAACACACAGTATCCTCAGCTTTATCAATTAGTAGAGGCAGAGAGTTCAAAAGCAAGGAGATGATATTATATATAAGGTACTTGTTAGATGTCAGCTAATGTATTGTGTACAGTTCTGAGCGCCACGTTACAGGAAAGATATGAATACACTGGAGAGCGTGCAAAAGTCATTTACAAGAATGGTTCCAGGGATGAGAAATTTCAGTTATGAAAACAGATTGAAACATTTGGGAACAAAAACAGAAATTGCTGGGAAAACGCAATGGGTCTGGCAGCATTTGTGAAGAGAAAGCACAGTTAACATTTCGGGTCCAGTGACCCTACTCAGAACTAATTGTAGCCAGCAAAAGGTTGGTATAAATGCTAAAGATGGGATCCGGAAGAGGATAAGAGTAAATGATAGGTGGAGATGAAGCCCGTGGAAAGAGAACAGCAGTTGGTCAGTCAAAGGAATGGGTAAACGTCAGCCTGGGGGAATCAATAGTTGCTAAATTGGGACCATTAGTAGCTGACAATGGGACGGTTGTGGCAGCAGCCCATTAGGTGACAAGGCCTGGGGTAAGGACATGGGAGAAGGTGCTCAGGCCCTAAAATTATTGAACTCAATATTAAGCCATATCTCCACCTATCATTTACTCCTCCCTACTCCCCCCACCCCATTCTCAGCACATATATCAACCTTTTCCTATCTACAATCAGTTCTGAAGAAGGGTCACTGGATCAAAAACACTAACTCTACTTCCTCTCCATAAATGCTGCTAGACCTGCTGGGTTTTCCCAGCAACTTCTGTTTTTGTTTCCGATTTCCAGCAGATCTTTGTTTTTCTTTTAAAAGTTGGGACTATTCCCCTTGGAGACAAGAAGGCCATAAGGAGAAGAAAAATTCAGAAGTTTACAAAATTATGTAGAGGGATGAATAGAACAGACAGGGAAAAACTATTCCCGCTCTTAAAAGGATCAAGTGTTGGAGGTAGTATATTAGCATGGATAGCAAAACAACTAACAGATGACAGAGGTAAGGGGGCCACTTTCAAGATAGCAACCTGGAACTAGTGGAGTGCCACAGGGAACACATACCGGCAGCAGCTAAAATGGTTTGCCGGCCCAGATCCTGAAGCAGGTGGATCTTGCTGACTACTAGATCCTTGACTGGTGTTGTTAACTTGGGCCAATCAGGAAGCCCTGGCTGACCAATACAAACAGATGATTTCCTGGTCGTGGTATGTTAATAAAGTTATTTGTACACTTGATGTTTTTTACTGCATCTCACGCCTGCACACACACAAGGGTGCTGGGGAAAATAAAAAAAGAGAAAAATATATATATATGAACAGGAGATTTAGCCTCTCCTCAGAAAAAAAATAAAAGGTTATTTAGAATATCCTCAGTTCAGGGGACTAACTCCTAGCTTGCTGGCCACAGCCAGTGTACTGTGCACAAGTAAATAAAGGGTGACTTGGTAATGGGATATTGGCCTCTTTTTTCAGTGGCAACGAGAGTGGGATTAATGATGTAATAATGCAAAAGTACCTACTAGCTGAAGCCCAACTGGACTTGAAACAGCACTACAACTGGCGTTGCCCTTAGAAAATGGCAACTGGACCATGGGAACTACAGGGCATCCCAATGGAAGTGGACACCCTTGCTTGTCCAACTGAGCTTGAGGAACGCCACTTGATTGTAGGCAATCGCAGAGCCTCACACAGGGCATAATCTGAGCAGAGGGACCCTAGCCCAGCCCACTGCAGAACCCCACAGCAACGCCGAGCCTCAGCCAAGTGGCTAAAAAGTTCTTCAGGATCTGGGCCGGCAAACCATTTTAGCTGCTGCCGGTACGTGGACTCAAGACAGCAAAGGAGTCCTACAAGGCCTGACTTGAGTAAGAAAACTCGTAGGCCGGTACCCAAGAAAGTGCACACCCTGGAAAATTCCCCTACATGTGGGGTGGAACAATTAAATTGCTTAGCGATGTCCAAATCAGAACTGAATAAAATTAATGTTTGGTTAAATGGTCACCCAGTTCCCATGGAGGTCGAATACAGTGCAGCTGTATCTGTGGTTGCAGGACCTGCTTTTAACAAGATCCACCTCGTTCCAATCAATACATCCCTCCACCCCCAAGTCCAGGGATGTAGGCCTGGTCTTTCTCTTGTGGCTTTTCTGCAACTTTTTTGCCTCAGGACCAGTTCCGCTGATTCAGACTCTGACACAGGTGGCATGTAGCAAACCAGAGCCCGTCTGTTGCATCTGGAGCCTCTCGGGAAAGTTCCCTCCTCTTCTATTCAAAACTTTTGATCAACAGCAGAGACTTGTTATTCAGAAATGGACCTCATTCGTAACCAGAGAACTGCCTGTACCTGTTTGTCCATCAACATATGATGCCTAAAATAATATTTCCAACATTACCTGTTTTTATTTCAGATGTGAAGCATCCACAGTCTTTTGCTTATGTACCATGATTACATTTGTCTGCTTTTGTTCCATATATTTTGATATACTTACCTAACAAAAAAATGACAAATTTCAAGGAATGTCAAAATAAAGCAGATCAAAAATAATTGGGCCTACATATCTTTCAAATGCAACAGATAAATATTGGAATTATTAAACAGGTAAAAAATGCAGGATTTTTTTTCTATGCATACTAACCTGAAACCTGAATATTGAAGGTCAATTTCTCTCCAGCTGCTTCACAAACGTATTCACCTAAATCTTTTGATTCCACATTCTGAATGATAAGTTTTCGAAGATTACCACTGGATTCAAGATTAATCCTTTTACTGGTGGTGAGTAGTTTTCCATCTCTAAACCATTTGACGTCAGTTTTGGACTGCAACACTTCACAACTGAGAATAGCATTCTCTGATCGTCGAACTTTCACTTCCTTCTGAACTAAACCTTTATTGACAAATCCAGTTTCTGGTTCTGCAATCAAGAAACATCAATTGGAATGTCAGATCAAGAATGCTTAAAATTATGCTTAAAATTAAAGGTTTGATTAGAGATTAATATAATAATGCATCTAACATACAAAGACAAAAGATAAGCATTCCTAAGTACCAAATTGGTGCAGAATTCATCTTATCTCATTAAGAGATCAAAACTATCACCGCATTCTTCCAGGAGAGACAGAGAGAGATGAAACAGATCACTTTTTAAGATGAAAGAAAGAATACCAAGAAGGAAATAGATAAAGGGAAGCAGGTACAGAGAAAGGTTATGAGAGTGTTTTGAATATGCAGTAAGTTCCTTATCTTAAACATTGTAAAAGCTAAAGAATTGCTTCAGGCTCCACGACTGAATTGTTCAAATGACTTGCATTTTTTCTGCCTTAACAACACTATATGAAACACGTGGAAACTTATTTTATCACAAGATGAATTTCTGCCTCATCAGAGTAATGACTACTCCATTTCTATCCAATTTCAACTGATATTGATTTTGAAATAACTCCAGAGAGGCTGGTATCCCATCATCAAGTCACCAAACGCTATACACCACATACATTGACGACATTTCCTTCCTTTGGACTCATGGCGAGAAATCGCTGAAACAACTACATAGTGATATCAACAAGTTTCATCCCACCATCAGACTTACCATGGACTACTCTTTAGAATCAGTCTCATTCTTGGACACATGCATCTCCATCAGGAACGAACACCTCAATACCTCATTCCACCGCAAGCCTACAGACAACCTCACGATGCTGCACTTTTCTGGCTTCCACTCTAAACATAGTAAAACAGCCACCCCTTACGTATAAGCCCTATGCATACATAGGATCTGTTCGGATGAAGAGGAACGCGAACACCTGAAGGTGTTGATGGATGCACTCACAGGGACAGGATACGATGCTCAACTCATCGATCACCAGTTCCGACATGCCACAGCAAAAAACCATAATGACCTCCTCAGAAGACTTAACACAGGACACAACCGATAGGGCACCCTTCGTCATCTAGTACTTCATGTGAGCGGAGAAACTACGCCATGTTCTTTGCAGTCTTCAACACATTATCGATCACAATGAGCACCTTGCCAAGATCCGTCCCACACCTCCACTTCTCACCTTCAAACAACGGCCAAACCTGAAACAGACCATTGTTCGCTACAAACTACCCAGCATTTAGGACAACATTGACCACAACATTATACAACCCTGTCATGACAAACTCTGCAAGACAGGTCAGATCTTCAACATGGACAGTACCATTACACATGGGAACACCACACACCACGTCCACGGCAGATATTCATGTGACTCGGCCAACATTGCCAGTCAGATATACTGCAGGCAAGTATGCCCCGAGGCATGGTATATTGGTGAAATCATGCAGATGCTATAACAACGGATGAATGGACACCACGCAACAATCGCCAAACAAGGATGTTCCCTCCCAGTGGAGAACACTTCAGCGGTCAAGGGCATTCGGCCTCGGATCTTCAGGTTACCATCTTCCAAGGAGAACTTCGGGATACACAGCAATGCAGAGTCGCCAAGCAGAGGCTGATAGCCAAGTTCAGTATCCATGAGGACGGCCTCAACCGGGATCTTGGGTTCATGTCGCACTACAGGTGATCCCACCACACTATACATTCTCACACACATACACGCATACATTCACACACACTCAGTCACACAAACATACTCTCTCTCTCACCCCCAACACACACGCACTCTCTCTCTGTCACACACACGTATACACACACACACACGTGTGCGCGTGTAAATCAATGGGATGAATTCGCATTTGCAGATACATTCTATTTTGTTCAAAAAGTGCACAACTTATAGACAGATAATGTGGCGTTTTATAAATTCCTACTTTACAAATAAAACCAGTCTGATTCCAAACCAAAACACGCAGGGTGGCTCAGTGGTTAGCACTGCTGCCTCACAGCTCTAGGGACCCAGGTTTGATTCTACCCTTGGGTGTGTGGAGTTTGCACATTCTCCCCATGTCTGTGTGGGTTTCCTCCAGATGCTTCGGTTTCCTCCCACAGTCCAAAGATGTGCAGGCTAGGTGGATTGACCATGCTAAACTGCCATAGTGTTCAGGGATGTGTAGATGTGATGGGTCTGGGTGGGATGCTCTGAGGGTTGGTCTGGACTTGTTGGGCTGAAAGGGCCTGTTTCCATGCTGTGGGGATTCTATGATCAAACAAGATCTAAGATGCATTGTCTGACTTAAAATGTCACCTCTTCTTTACACTGATTAAAACTTTATTTCTCTCAGGGGAGTGACTTGAAAGAAATTTGGGGATTTACATATACATATTAATCAATTAAAACCTTCTAACTGATTATAGATTTAACAGCATCTTAGGTTTGTTAATACATCCTCATCAGTTGTGTGCCCCTTTGATCTTTTACTTATAAATACTGTGTCTGATGTCACCTCTCTCATTAACACCCGAAGAAGGAGCGAGGCTCCGAAAGCTTGTGTTTTCAAATATACCTGTTGGACTATAGCCTGGTGTCTTGTGATTTCTGACCTTGTCCACCCCAGTCCAACACCAGTACCTCCACACACTTTATTTACACATGGAAACTCCTTGACACTGATCCAGCTCCCTCAGATCCAGCTCTCAGAGTGAACAGGATGTCTAACACTCCTGCATTTATCTGGCAGGCACAGCTTTCTGACTGGACCAGATTAAGAGCCCCAATCAAGAAACTCACATTCTATGAGGTCCACCTGGCTGGCCTAGTTACAATCACTACAGATCTCATCTGTACTATCTCAAAAATTCAAACTTTATTATTCCAATAGTCTCCCTCCTTATCAGCCTCTAATTCGCTTTTCTCCACAAACTGCAGTCATCCAGAAGTCCACTATTCATAATCAGCAAGCCACCAAAGTTTGAAATTGAAAATCGATCTATATGCTTATATCCCTTCATGAATTTGCCTTCCTACCTATGAAACATCATCAAGCAGCACAATGTTTTGCAAATTCAGCTCTCATAGTGCATTGGTAGTGTCCATACCTCTGAGCCTGGAAGCCCATGTTCAAGTCCCACCTGCACCACAGATGTTCATTGACATTTCTAAACAAGTGGATTAGAAAATATTAAAAAAAGGCAGACCCAGGGATGGGTTCTGCAGAACTGTTTGCCCCGGGCTAGGTCTAGCCTTATGTATATTCAATATGTTCACCAATAAATGATGTTCCTTTCCAGTTGGGCATCCTGAGTTATTATAGTCTGATGGTTTCTCCTGTTCCAGCGTCACCAGTATCCACTCTTCTATCCACTTCCTACATTCTCTATCCCCCTCTCTTTGTTTCATTTCAGGGAAAATTAATTCAGCCCCTCCAGTCTCCACAGCACCTCAACTGAGGTGTCTGTAATGCTCTGACTGGTTGCACTTGACCTACATGGCTGACCATGGCCCAAACCCCAGACTGCAAAGACACAGATCCCTGATTCTGGTAGAATCAGGCATCGAACTGACCATGACCAAACCCCCAGACTAGAATCAGATCAGCCCTTTAAGTGACTCTCTGATTGACTGTAGTTCCCTTTGACCTATTAAGAACTGAACCTCATTGACTTTTAGAGATGGCCATGTACTTGATGCATACAGTGCTGGCACATACTATACATATAACACTGAGATAGCACATTACCATGCAGCAAAACGTACACCTCTTTGACTCTTCACCACCATGACAAGCTGCCTTTCTCCCCAGTGCACTGAAAAGCAATGCAAGCCACAGAAAATGGCATCCTCCAAGTATGGGCAAAGTGAATTAATATAACAAAATGAAGTCAAGAGCCACAAAAAGCATCCTGTGTAGATAGATAAGGTACTTGAGGTTGGCTTGACGAGCTGGTTTGTTGTTCCACAGACGTTTCGTTACCATGCTGGGTAACATCATCAGTGCAGCCTCCGATGAAGCGTTGGTGTTTTTTCCTGCCTGGTTTTTAAACTCTGGAGTCCATTGAGATACTTGTGGCCCTGCATGCAAAGCGTCCTGGCAGAAGCATGCAAGCTATGGCCCTGATCTCCAAAGAGAAGTCCTAAAGGTGGTGTAATTTAGATTAATAAGGCATGATCTTGTGGTAAACTTGGTGGTTTGTCAATGTCAATTTGTATAGACAAACAGTGTCTATGAAGAGTGCAGGGAAGTTGTGGTGAAGACAGAAATGGATGAATGTCCAGACACACAAGCAGCAAGCTCCTGCCACCAGGTAACCATTCTGATTTTCATGTGAGAAATTGGCACTGTCTAGTTTCGCAAAAATGGAGAGAATTAGTAGTGGCATATAAATGAAGCAAGTTGTGCAAATAGTGAGATACAAATGCGTGGAATTAAGGTAGCTTAATAGTAAGTTTCTGAAGTCACCATTTAAAGCTTAACAGAAATTTTTTCTCAACACAAGATTCCAATTTTATCGTTATTGCCATTCTTTCTCGCCAATGACACTGCCATTAACAGCAACAGAAAATTCTATCCCTTATTTACACTCTTCAGAATTTTCTCGCCAAACTATTGTAACTAGCCACCTTTTCTTTAAGACCTTTCTTTAAAAATACAACTCCTTCCCTATCCTGTTAAACTCTCTTTGTTTGGTTGAAATTTTTATCTTACCACACATATTTCTGTATAATTCTTTGGGACAGTTCCCTAAATTAGAGGTATTATACATGTGCTACTTTCATTTTCAAAGCCAGGTGACAGCAGAAGACAGAACGATTGGGGAGATAGATCTTGTAAATGGTCAAGAAGGAAAAGTTCTAAGGAATCCCAACCAGATGTCAGAAAAACGTAATCCAAGAGATAATTAGATTTTGAAAATAACTTTGGTAAACACAGATTAAAAGTCAATATGTTTTACTGACCTGTAACCTGAACAAAGAATGTCAATTTCTCTCCAGCTGCTTCGCAGACATAATTGCCTCGATCCTTTGATTTTGCATTCTGAATAATAAGTCTTCGTATTCTACCATCAGATTCGAGTTTAACTTCTTGACCGGAAGTGAGAATTTTTCCACTTTTGGACCATTTGACCTCAGTTTTGAGTTGTGATACTTCACAGCTGAGAATAGCAGTTTCCGACGTTCGAACCTTTACCTCTCTCTGAACTGATTCTTTATTGGCGAACACTGGTTCTGGTTCAAGTTCTGCAAACAAAAGAATTTCCACTAATAACCAAAATCAAGAACTTTTTAGAGTAGGAAATGTGATTTGACCCAATAAAACCGACTTGTGGTACAGTTAATCCGACCTGGCCAAATTCCCCACATACTTTCTATCTTATAAGAACACATCTAGGTGTCAATTAGACTTTATGTCATGTTACCTTCAGTGTGCTTCCAATATAACTTATTCCATTAGAGTAATGCATGTTGTGTGAAAACAAGTACCTCTCATATCTTCTTACACCTAACATCCAGAGTTAAACTGGATTATCTTCAAGGGACCTGGACAGGCAGGTGGTGTTGAGGAAACGGGGAGGGTGCAGGCAGACGAGGACATGCCTGTGTGGACAAGAAAGTGGCAGATAGAATACAATGTGGGAAAGTGTGAGGTTATGCACTTCAGTAGGAAGAATAGAGGGGTGGACTATAGGAAAAGGCTTCAGAAATCTGAAGCAAAAAGGAACTTTTGAGTGCTAGTTCAGGATTCTCTTAAGGTTACCATGCAAGTTCAGTTGTAGTTAGGAAGACAACTGCAATGTTAGCATTCACTTCAAGAATGAAAAGAGCAGAGATGTACTGTTGAGACTGTACAAGGCTCTGGTCAGATCAGACTTGGAATATTGTGAGCAGTTTTGGGCATCTTATCTAAAGAAGCATGTGTTAGTTTTGGAGATTTTCAAGAATGATCCCAGGAATGAAGGGCTTGTTAAATGAGGAGCAGTTGAGGAACCTGAGGGCACAGCCTCAGAGTGAAGGGATGACCGTACAGAACTGAGATGAGGAAGAATTTCTTCAGCTAGAGGGTGGTGTATGTCGTAAAACTCATTGCCACAGAAGGCTGGAGAGATCAAGCCTTTGAGTGTCTTTAAGACCGAGATAGATGAGTACTTGATTAGTAAGGGGATCAAGGGTTACAGGGAGAAAGTAACAGAATAAGATTGAGAAACATATTAAGCATGATCAAATAGTGAAGCAGACTTGATGGACAAATGCCTAATTCTGCTCTTTTATCTTATGGTCTTACGGTCAGACACAAAGTAAGAAAGCTTTGCATAGTTGTTAGCAGGCTTGAATCAAATCAAGCGGGTATACCCTTCGGTCAGGGGGACCCGGAACAGTATAGACAAGAGCACCGTCTGACCCGTCCTTGTTGGGTGAGATCAAAGTCAAGATCTTCTCCTGGTAAGGAGTGAGCCAAATGACAGGAAGCACACTACCCATCTTCAGTTTTCTCCCCTATTTTTCTGTTTTCCTCCTGGAATGAGAGAGTGAGGCAGGTGTTACAAGAGACGAAAGAGGCAGGTATTATGGGAGATAAAAGTGAGTGGCACAGCTGTACTTTCAATGCAGGTGGGTAAGTGAATAGGTAATGCAGAGGGATTGTAGGGTTAAGTGATGTTGGGGCTGGAGCAACTGACAACAAGTAAGGAAAAAATTGCAGTCAATACTATGAATGATGGCGTGTGAGCCTTTGTGGATGGTACAGTGGCAAAGACAGAGTGACCATGAGGTATCAGACCATCAGAGGATATTTAATGTTTTAACAAAGATCTGTAGCTAGGGTTGCAGTTGGGAGTTGTAGGTTGGTTCGTCAAGCTGACTGGTTTGCGTGCAAATGTTTCATCTCCCTTCTAGGTGTCATTGTCAGTGCTGTGCAGCCTCCGTTGAAGCGCTGTTGTTCTGTCCTGCTTTGAATTTATATGGTCTGGTCTGTCATGGTGGGCAGTTTTGTTTGTACTGTAGTGGTATGTAGATGCGGTCTATTTCAACATGTTTGTTAATTGCATCTATGGTTGAAAACCAGGCCTCCAGGAATTCTCATGTTTGTCTTTGTCTCGTTTGTCCTAGTACTGTAACTTTGTCCCAGTTAAACTGATATCCTTCTACGTCGGAGTGAATTGAAACGAGGGAGAATTGTTTGTGCCATTTTGCTGCAAGATGGTGTTCATGTACCCTGGTGGCAAGTTTCCTGCCCATCTGTTCTATGTAGTGTTTCTCGCAGTTGCTGCATGGTATTTTATATATCACATTTGTCCTGCTCATTGTGGGTATGGGGCCTTTCATCTTTGAGAGTAACTGGCGAAGTGCGGCTGTTAGTTTCGGTGCTATCCTTATACCAAGAGGTCGTAGGAGTCTTGTAGTCAGTTCTGACACCCCGGAGCTGCACAAAAATGAAGAGGAACACCTGTACAGAATCTTTGCAAACAATGGTTATCATAACAGCTTCGTCCGCCAATGCCTGGCAAACAAACAACACAAGAAGACACTGTATGCCCCAACACTTTGGGCACACTACTCAATGTTAGAAACACATCAGAACTGACTACAAGACTCTACGGCCTCTTGGAACAGGACAGCACAGAAACCAAGCGCCACTCTTTGCCAGTTACTCTCAAAGACGAAAGACCCCTCAATGAACAGGACAAATGTGATATATAAAATACCATGCAGCAACTGCGAGAAACACTATATAGGACAGATGGGCAGGAAACTTGCCACCATAAACACCAACTTGCAGCAAAACGGCACAACCAATTCTCCCTCGTTTCAATACAATCTGTCATAGAAGGACATCAATTTGACTGGGACAAAGTTACAGTACTAGGACAAGCGAAACAAAGACATGCACGAGAATTCCTGGAAGCCTGGTTTTCGACCACCAATGCAATTAACAAACATGTTGAAATAGACCACTTTGATACAAAACCGGAAACAAGACTACCCACCATGACAGACCAGATCATATAAATTCACAGTGGGACAGAACAACAGTGCTTCAACAGAATCTACACAGCACTGTCTGTGTCACCTAGAAGGGAGACGAAACATTTGCATGATAACCATTCAGCCCAGGGAACCAACCATCAACTCCATCAGAGGATGATTACACTTACCCTAATGGAGAGATGAAGGTCATTGATCTTCTTTCTAGAGTGCTGCATATTCCTCTCGATGGCTGAGACTGCTTTAGCCCAGGCAGCAACCTCACACCAGGCTGATATGGTCTGGTATCCTGGCCTGCACTGCTGTTCCTTGGGTGAGGTGCAAGTTCCATACTGGCAACACCTCATCCAGGAGGGCCATGACCCTGCCTGCAAAGCAGGACGCCAACTTCATTGTCTGCCATACCCAGGCAAATGTCAAGAACAATGCAGGGCTGCTCCGAACTGGCAGCACTTACGTAAGAACGTAAGAGGTAGGGGCAATAATAGGTATTTCAGCCCCTAAGCCTTCTTCACCATTTAATATGATCACAGCTGATCTCATCTCGGTCTCAATTCCACTTTTCTGCCCACTCCCCATAGCCCTTTAACCCATTACTAATTTAAAAATCTGTCTTTCTCCTCCTTACATGCAATCACAGTTACAGTTTAACAACTGAACTCCACGGTGATTTAAATTTATTGATGTGTTAGATACAGGGATATTAGTGTGAATATTATACGAGTGGTGTTTTGAGAACGGCACCATGGTGTTTGGGCACTATACAAAAGCTGTTTTGTTTCTTTTCAGTTTATGAAACAGTATTTTGGAATTAATAAAGAATTGCAGACGCTGGAGATATGAAAACAAGAAACAAAATTGCAGGCAAAACTGATGAAGAGTTACCAGACTCAAAATGCTAACTCTGGTTTTTTTCCCCATAAATGCTGCCAGACCTGCTGAGTTTCGCCAACAATTTGATCTTGTTATACTATTATCATGTGCTTAAAACTTTTGAATTTGTATTATAAGTAGATAGTTTAGATTATTCTATGTTATCTTTGCAATAAACGTCCCTTTTACTGTTAAAACAAAATCAATAGCCTATGGTTCAGTGAGAGACCATATCGTTAAAACTCAGAAACAAGTTATGATCTATCAAGCTGGGTTCCTTTCTGGGATCTGACTTGTCTGATAATAGCATCTGCTGGGATCATAGCATGTTTAAGTTGCATAGTAATACATAAATCCTTCATTTCTCTGCTCTTGCAACATACATCCTGATGAATTTACAGGAAGCAACAAAAGCCAGACTGCCCAAATTGGCAAATAAATTAGAAGTAAAATTGACAGGCAGAACTAAGGAGGTAGAGATAATTGAAATACTGGCAAAGCATCTAGGACTTGTGGTAGTACAGGAGGGGCTCAGTACACCAAATGGTAAGTCACTTGAGTTAGCAAGGGTTCAGTTCCAGTTGAAGCAGCTTGGATATGAGAAAGAGGTAAAGCAGCTCAAAACAGAAGAGAGAGTTTTGAATCAAAAAGAATGGAAAAGGAAATGATAAAGCAGGTGATGAAATTGAGAAAACTTGAGCTTGAATTTCTGAGGGAAAGGGAAAAGAGGAGAGAGATAAAGGATATCAGCTTTAAATTATGCAGCTTTTAAAAAGAAGACACCTAACACTGGTGAAGACTCTGATGGGGAAAATCCTAATCATAATTTATAGCCCAGTAGAAAATCGTTTCGTTTTGCACAAGTTCCAGCAGAATTGCAAGGAAAGGATCGGGAGGCATTTTTATGCCATTTGAGAAAATAGCAAAGCAAATAAAGTGACTGAAGGAAATCTGGAATCTACCCGTGCACAGTAAATAATTAAGTAAAGCACAGGAAATTTGTGCTTCACTATCAGAGGAAGTTTCCATGTATTATTATGCTGTGAAGCAAGCTACTCTGGGTGCATATGAAATAGTATGTTTAAAGTTTGAAAATCTGAGTAAACAGACTAAGCAAATTTATAGTGAATTTCAAAGCAGATTTGACAGATGGAAGTGGGCATCAGGAGTAGATGCTACATATGAAACTCTCAGAAAAATCGTTCTCTTGGAAAAATTTGAAAATTCACTAGCTTTTGTAACTTGAAACCATAGCGAGGACTCAGAGGGTTGCAACTACCAAACAGGCAGCAGTGGCTGACGATGATCAGCTGATTCATAAAACCAAATCCTTTTTCCATCACCCCCATAAATTTGAGAAGGACAGAGGACGGGAGAGTGAAAGGAAAACTAGTAACCAGGATAAAGAAAGGGCAGCGGGGAAAACCCCAAGATCCCCTCCTCATCAGAAAACAAGGTGCAGAGGGTGGTGGTGAAAATCAAAAGCCAAACATATATCTGCTTCTGTTTCTTATGGTCTCATGGTCTTAAGGTCCATTCTCACGAATGCTCACAGGATTTGGAAAAACGATTAAGTTTATTACTATTTGCTACATTATGAGAGATTCCCTAAATGAATTTAGTAGGATCAGTACATCCAAACTTATCCACTGTCATGAGATAAGAGGTTTGCTAAGACTGATTATTGAGAGGTTTTAAGGCAAAAAAAAAGTATGCTCAATGTTGGATTATGTGTCCATGTTTCTCAAGTGTATCACAAGAAAGGGCAAACATTTAGAATGTTTCAAACAGGAGACAAACAGTTGGTTTTCATATCTTTACAAAGTGAACCTGTGAAAGCGAGATTCAGTGGTCTATAAAAGTTAGTGAAGAGAGTTAGCAAAGTGACTTATCTGCTAGATGCTACCCATCGCAGGAAGAAGTATCAGTTAGTCATGTGAACATGTTAAAGTATTATTATTGTCGGGAGGGGGATAGGAAAGAGCAAGTGTACCACATTTGATTTGATTTTATTACTGTCACATATACCAGGATACAATGCAAAGTACTGTTTTACACACTATCCGGGCAAATCATACCCTACATAAATACATCAGGGTAATAGAACAGAATGAGAATATAACGTTACAGCTGCAGAGAACATGCAACGAAAGATCAACTTTCATATATGAGAGGTCTGTTCAAAAGTCTGATAACAGCAGGGAAGAACAGTAAGAGTAACGGATGATGGCAGAGATAGTAAAAGTGAGGTAGAAGGAGAGGTAGACCATTTGCAAACATCCTCGATTTAAATGATGAACGATTTATTTATTGTCATGTATATCTTGAAGATGCAGTGAAAGGTGTTTTGTCACCACAATCAGGTGCTATTTTGAGGTACAACATGGATAAAAAGAATTATTTAAATAAGACTTCATCTTCTGTTCAAATTGGGATCTCAAGCATGGCTTCAGGGCTTCTGCAAAGTCTCTCCAAGGTGTTCCGGTCCTCAAAGAATCCCGCTCCTGGAACTCCGGCAATGACTATACCAAACAGCCAGGGAACCCCGACTCTGCTGCTACTGCCACCACGCCGACACTGCTAAGACTCTGGGCGTACCACCGCCAGGAAACCCTGTTCCAGGCACCATCGCCACCAACAGTCCAGGGTCCAGGCCTACTGCCACCGCTGCCAGGAATCGCGGTCCACGCCACCAACACTGCAGCCATCATCACACTGACACCGCTGCGGCCTCAAAGATTAAGGAAAAAGGCAGAAGAAAAGAAAACAAAGACGCGAAAGAGAAACCACGATGCCGCTGGCATGGAGTGGATGGGCTCTAATGAGCTCAAACACTATCTACCACACCAGTAATTTCAATTAACCAACACTGAGATACTAGGGCAGTTAGTTAATATATTTTTGTACTTAGAGGAAGGACAACATGAATATCTAGTAAAGTTTTCTTAAGAAATTTGAGGAAGTCTGTAGAGATATAGCAGTATGCATTATGTTAGCCAGACATTATACTGGCAGAGGGGTACTAGTAGCAATGAAATAGCATCCTGATTGGTTAAACCTGGAACACCACAAAGAAGATTACCCAATTGATCCTAGCTAAAGCAGCAGGAGTTCACCAGTGGTGTTAGTTTCTAAATGAGATGGGTCAACTAGATTACTCATAGATTACAGAAAAATAAATGCAATAACAAAAGCTAATTTGTACACATTTCACTGTTTTTTGGAACAGCTTGCGGTTCAGCCCACGAGAGAACAGGCAATTTTAGTAATGTGGGTTGAGATATCAATTCTGGACTAAGTAATACTCACTAGTTTTCTTTGAATTGTACCATAGGATATGTAATTACATCTGAAAGTGCAGGTGGGGTTCTGAGGAAGGGTCACCAGACCCAAAACGTTAACTTTGATTCTTTCTTCACAGATGCTGCCAGACCTGCTGAGGCTTTTCCAGCAACTTCTGTTTTTGTTCCTGATTTACAGCATCTGCAGTTCTTTTGGTTTTTACTTTGAACCTACAATCATTTGTCTCAGAGGCGAGGGTATTACCTTTAATTCAAAAGTGACAAAAATCCTCCAATGTGTTCTTAAAACAAAAAAAAATGACAATTAAAACAGACTTTCTTAAGGAAAATCTGACAAGCTTTCAATAATTGGAAAAATATTATTTCTTTGTAATACGTATGGGTCTAAATACTATTCAAGAGCTAGACTGCCTACTAAGAATGTAAAAGATGGGCTGAAAATTAGCTAAACAAAATATTGGATAAAGAGAAACAAGAAACCCCTTTTATTCCACGCTGAACCTAGAATTAAATCCTTTGTTCATGTAAATGAAGGGTCTAACACTTGCTCTGTTTACCAATGATGTGACGTGAGGTAGCCAGTCACAATTGCATTCATTGAAAATTGTTCTACTGACTGTTAGCGAGTCATGAGAATAAATTAATTCTATAATTGTGGACCATTTAGGTAGGAGAATCGGTGAATCTCCCGACTCCACCGTGCAATCATCACTAGAAATTCCAAGTAGGCATTTAGTACTACATTGCTGATATTCATGATACAGGCCACAAATGACAAAAGTGCTTCACAGGAACATAGTAAACCATTCAGATCCTTCAGTCAGTTTGTCCAAACATAGGGGGGTCAACCTCTACCTCAATTCTGATGAAAGATCATTGACCTGAAATTATTTCCCTCCTCACAAACCAGCTGAGTATTACCAACATTATCCATGTATTTTCAGATTTGGAGCATCTGCATAGTTTTGCTTTTATCGGCACGCTTTTATTCCATATATCTTGATATCCTTAACTAACGTAAGTGACTAATTTCAAGTGAAGTTAAGATAAAAAGAACAATAAAAAAGTCCTATACTGTAACAAAATTCATTCAAATGTTCCAGATAATACTGGAATAATTAAAGGAATACAAAATGTCCTACAATTACTAACCTGTAACCTGAATGTCGAAGGTCAGTTTCTCTCCAGCTGCCTCACAAATGTATTCACCATGATCTTTTGACTCCACATTCTGAACAGTAAGCTTTCGAATTTTACCATCAGATTCAAGTTTCATCTTTCCACTGTTATTGAGGAGTTTTCCATCTCTGAACCACTGGACCTCGGTTTTGGGTTGTGATACTTCACAGCTGAGAGTAACATTTTCTGATTGTCGAACTTTCACTTCCTTCTGAACTGAATTTTTGTTGACAAATCCAGTTTCTGGTTCTGGAATCAAGAAAAATTAATTAGAACTTTGGAATGAGAAGTGGTTGTGATAAACCTGACCAGTGATAAGAGTTTGAAATTAGGAAGTTTTGATGTTTTTCAAAAAAAATTTGTGATATTCATATAATAACACATTTAATCTAGAAAAAAAATTAATCAGACAAGCTTTTCCAATCTCCAAGTTAGCCCAGAATTCATCATTACTCATTCAAAGTGATGACAGAATAAAATCTTTTCATGGAAATGGTCTGGAATGTCAATGCCCTGAAGTGTAGTGGAGGCAGGTTCAATCGAGACATTCAACAGGGCATTGGATGTTCAGTTAAATAGAAACACCATCAAAGGTAATTTAAATTTGTTCAGAAAAGATTTACAAGGATGTTGCTGGAATTGGAGGATTTGAGCTATAGGGAGGAGCTGAATAGGCTGGGGTTTTCCCTGGAACATCGGAGGTTGAGGGATGACCTTATGGCAGTTTATAAAATCATGAGGGTCATGGATAGGGTGAATAGCCAAGGACTTTCTCCCAGAGTAGGGGAGTTCAAAACTAGACGGCATAGGTTGAAGTCGACAGGGTAAAGATTTAAAAGGGACCTGAGGGACAACTTTTTTATGCAGAAGGTGGTGCGTGTATGGAACAATCTATCAGAGGTGATGGAGGTAATGCAATTATAATATTTACATAGATACATAGAAACATAGAAAATAGGTGCAGGAGTAGGCCATTCAGCCCTTCAAGTCTACACCATCATTCAATACGATCATGGCTGATTATGCAATCTCAGCATCCCATTCCCACCCTCTCCCCATACCCCTGGATCCCTTTAGCTGCAACGGCCATGTCCAGCAACCTCTTGAGTATATCTAATGAACTGGCCCCAACAGCTTCCTGTGGGAGAGAATTCCACAGGTTCACAACTGTCTGAATGAAGAAATTCTTCCTCATCACACTCCCTAATGGCTTCGCCTTCATTCTTAGGCTGTGACCCCTTGTTCTGGACCTGTTCAACATCGGGAACATTCTTCCCACATCTAGCTTGTCCAGTCCCATCAGGGATTTTATATGTTTCTATGAGATCCTCTCGCCTCATTCTTCTAAATTCCATAGAATACAAACCCAGTCAATCCAGTCTTTCCTCATATGTCAATCCTGCCATCCTGAGAATCAGTCTGGTGAACCTTATCTAGACTCCCTCAATAGCAAGAATGCCCTTCCTCAGACTAGGAGACCAAAACTGCACACAATACTCACAAGGTGTTGCCTCAGCAAGGGCCTGCATAACTACAGCAAAACATTCTCACTCCGATACTCAAATCCTCTTGCTATGAAGGACAGCATGCCATTAACTTTCCTCATTGCCTGCTGCACCTGCAAGCCAACCGTCAGCAGCTGTTCACCATGACACCCAGGTCTCATACCCCACCTTTTCCTAAACTGCCACCATTCGGATATTAATCTGCCTTCCTGTTTTTGCGACCAAAGTGGATAACCTCACATTTATCCACATTATATCGCATTTGTCAAGTATTTGCCCAGTCAGCCAATCTGTACAAGTCACCCTGCAGCCTCTTAGCATCTTCCTCACAGCACACACTGTCACCCTGCTTAGTGTCATCTGCAAATTTGGAGATATGGCATTCAACTCCTTCATCCAAATTGTTAATGTATATTGTGAACAGCTGAGGTCCCAGCACTGAACTCTACAGCACCCCACTCACACTGCCTGCTTCTCTGAAAAGGATCTGTTTATTTAAACGCTCTGCTTCCCGTCTGCCAACCAGTTCTCTATCCATGTCAACACATTACATCCAATACCATGAGCTTTAATTTTCCTAACCAATCTCATGTGGAACCTTGTCAAAAGCCTTTTGAAAGTCCACATACACAACATCTACTGATTCACCATTGTCTACTCTACTGGTCACATGCTCAAAAAAGTCCAGAAGATTTGTCAAGCATGATTTCCCTTCAGTGAATCCATGCTGACTAGGACCAATTCTGTCACTGCTTTCCAAATGCTCAGTTGTGACATCCTTAATGATTGACTCCAGCATTTTCCCTACCACCTATGTCAGGCTAACCAGTCTAAAATTCCCCATTTTCTCGCTCGCTCTTTTTTTAAAGACTGGAGTTACATTAGCTACCCCCCAGTCCATTGGAACTCTTCCAGAGTTTACAGGATGCTAGAAAATGATCATCAATGCAACCACTATTTCTAGGGCGACTTCCTTAAGTACTCTGGGATGCAGAGCATCAGGCCCAGGGGACTTATCAGTTTAATTCCCATCAATTTCGCCAATGCCATTTCCTAACTAATAAGGGTTTCCTTCCGTTGACCCCCTGCCATTTCCTGAAGATTATTTGTGTCTGCCTTAGTGAAGACAGATCCAAAGTATTTGTTCAACTGGTCTGCCATCTGCTTGTTGTCCATTATGAATTCTCCTGTTTCTAACTGCAAGGGACATACATTTGTCTTCACCAGTCTTTATCGCTTCACATATCTATAGAAGCTTTTGCAGTCAATTTTTATGTTTTACGTAATATTCTATTCTATTCTATTTCCCCTTTTCAAATTAAACCCTTTGTCCTCCTCTGCCGAATTTTAAATTTCTCCCAGTCCTTGGGTTTGTGGTTTTTTCTGGCCAATTTATATGCCTACTTTTTTGGTTTTAACACTGTTCCTGATTTCCCTTGTTAGCCATGGTTGAGCCACCTTCCCTATTTTACTCCTATGTTAGACAGGGATGTACAATTGTTGAAGTTCATCCATGTGTTCTTTAAGTGTCTACCATTGCCTATCCACCATCAACCCCTTAAGCATCCTTGGCCATTTTATCCCAGCCAATGCATGCCTCATACCATCGAAGTTATTCTGTTCTGCTGTTCTATATTCTATGGATAGGCACATGGATGATAGTATAATGTAACATATGTAGGATATGATAGTATAATGTAGGGTAGTTTGATCTTAGTAGGATAATAGATCGGCACAACATCGAGGGCCGAAGGGCCTGTACTGTGCTGTACTGTTCTATATTCTACGTTCTAAAGTTAGCTTTCTTCAAGTTTGCGACCATAGTTTTACATTTAATTGTATCACTTTCCATCTTAATGAAGTGTGACATATTATGGTCACTCTTCTCCAACGGATCTTGCACCGCAATGTTGCTAATTAGTCCTCTCTCGTTACACAATACCCAGGTCGAGGATGGCTTGCTCTCTATTTGGTTATTCAACGTATTGGTCGAGGAAACCACCCCTCATACGTTCCAGGAAATCCTCCTCCATTGCACTGCTATCAGTCCAATCAATATGTAGACTGAAGTCACCTATAATAACTGCGGTACCCTTACAGCATGCATCTCTAATTTCCTGTTTGATACAGTCCCCATATGACAACTACTGTTTGGTGGTCTGTACACAACTCCCACTAACATCCTTCTCCGTTTAGTGTTCCGCAGCTCCACCCATACAGATTCCACTTGACCAGGGTAATGTCCTCCCTTACTATTTGTATTAATATCCTCCTTAACCAGCAACGCTACCCCACCTCCCTTTCCTATCTGTCTTTCTTTCCTGAAAATTGAATAACCCTAGGCATTGAGTCCCCATTCTTGGTCACCCTGGAGCCAGGTGTCTGTGATCCCAATTACATCATATCCATTAATAACTGTTTGGACAGTTAATTCATCCACCTTATTACAAATGCTCCTTGCATTGGGACACAGATTTTTTGACATTTGTTGCCCTTTTAAAATCATTGTGAAATTTAAAAGGTATCTGGATGGGTACATGAACAGGAAAGTTTGCGAGGGATATAGGCCAAATGCTGGCAAATTGGACTAGATCAGTTCAGTATATCTGGTCAGCACGAACAAGTTGGACTGAAGGGTCTGTTTCCATACTCTATAGCTCCAAATCTGGTCTATGATCAGGTGGGTGCCACTACAAGTAAGGTAGGTATGGCGACCCAAGGGGTTGCATTTGAGAAACCTCAGCCCCCACAATTGTCCAACAGTTACAAGGGTCTTACAAGCTGTGCAAATGAGACTGGGTGCTGCAGGGAGGATGAACAACGCAACAATGTAGACGTGTTAGGGTCATTGTAATTGAAGATGTAAATATGTCTTTAGAAATCAGAAGCAGAAGTCCTTGAGGCTCCATCGCCTGGTGCCAGTATTGAGGACAACTCATCAAGCTGGAGAAGAACTTGGGAGTGCGTGTGGAGGGAGCCAGTTGTCATGATCCATGGTGTAACCAGTGACATTCATAGAACTAGATTAGAGGTCTCCTTCGGGGGGTACTGACACCAGTACTGAGGTAGAAGGGAGCTGTTCCAGCAGAAAGGGTTTCATTTGAACCATGCTGAGACCAATGTACTGGCGACTCAAATAATTTGGGCTATAGAAAGGACTTTAAACTAATCAGAGGGGGAAGGATTTGTGAGAGGCGAATGCAGTCTTAGAAAACAAAAGATTACAGTACAGCTATTTTGATAATGATATTTTCAGTGGGTCAGGAGGGGTACAGCTCGAGCATTCAAAAGTAGCAGTAACTAGGGTCATAGGGGGAATAAATGGCAAAAAGGCAAATTATTGCCTCTTTTAACATATCTGAATGCACATAGCACTTGGAACAAAATAAAAGCATTAACGCCGCAAATAGAGGTTTGTGGGTATATGATAACCATCATAGAGACATGGTTATAAGGAGATCAAAGCTAGGAACTAAATATTCAGGGGTATATGAAGTTTTGAAAGGACAGACAGGAAGGAAAGAGTGGTGGAGGAGCTTTGTTAGAATGGAATGGATTAAGTACGACAGCAAGAAATGATCTTGGATTGGGAAATGCAGAATCTATTAACAGTACACGAAGTTGAAAAAAGGGAAAAGAGGCACTAGTAGGAGTAGACTACAGACTCCTAAAAGCAGCTATATAGTAGTACAGTCATAGAAACATAGAAGATAGGAGCAGGAAGAGGCCATTCGGCCCTTTGAG